AGCAGTCCTTGGCTATTACCAACAGTTCCTGGTTGGCTCCACTGCCATACAATTATCAATGTTAGAGACTCACTCATTGCTCCCTTATATTCTGAGAATCAAGAGCTCAAAAGGTCTCCCTTTGGACACTTTACAGTTGCAACAGAGTGGGATTTAGTCATAGGAATGTTCCATCATTCAGGTCTTTTCTCTGTAACTTTGTTTGAAGGTTTGTCAACAAGAATATTATTCCACTTGGGTTCTTAGTCAAAAAAAGTCAGCAAAGAAAAATAAATCAGCAAAGAAAAATAATTTTCCAAGGCTGTTCATTAAAAAAAAAAGAAAAAAAATTGCGCTAATTAGACACCTGTTAGTTCCTGGGAACAAATAATGTTTCTGATACATTCAAAAGGAGCTTAATATAAATGGAGTTTGTCAAGGCTTAGGCCTAATGAGGGTTTCTCAGATTGTAGTGCAGCCAGGGGCAAGGGGAGTCCATCACCACAATCCGCCCTGCAATGGAAGTCAGCTTCTCTGGGCCTCCACACGGTAGTCATCTCTGGATGCTGTGCTGGGGAGACTGCCAAGACAACCCTGTTATGGACAGGCTTACAACGAAAACTTCAAAGTAACAAAAAAAAGCAGGCCAGTTAATTACAAACAAGTAAGCCTGTTTATTACAGACAGAACAACTGGAAGCCAAAGCCTCCAGCTAGTCTGGAGACTGTTTCAACAATTTAGTAATTGTACACCTAGGGGCATTTCTAAGGATACCAGCTCCAAGCAAAGACCTGGGTGTCACACACCCCAGGCCTTTTAAAGTCTCTCTCTTCTTCCCTTACTGGGGCGCTCAGGATCCGTGCTGTGATCGGTTTCTCTTTCTGTTGCTGATTGGCCCATAAGCTGGTGCAATCATTTTGAGATTCTTGCTTCTTATTGGCTGGTCTCTCCTCCAGTCTTAATCCAAGCTGTGGCTGTGCTCTACGATGTTATACTTCTAGAAGCTTCTCTGCCCCCCCTCCACAAAGATTGGCATTTCCTCCCTGGTTCCAGTCCCCTTTCAGGTGTATACAACAGTATTGATCTCTAATACAACTAATCACCTTACTTTGTAGCCACAACATCCAAGCCTGCACCACACCCTGTTAACTACTTATCCAATTATAACTTGTTACTTGTATCAACAACAACCCTTTTTATACAGACATTGTTAACAACATTGCCCAAAAGTTTAAATTTTTATTTTTTGTTCATAACAACACTGTAGCTGCTGCTGATGGCAGAGTGCTGCTGCGCAGAAGCTTTATATCTTCTCTTTCTGTATCCCACATTCCCCTCTCTTTTCCTCGGGGACGTGAGGTGGTTTTCTGCTACTGCCTGTGAAGCCCACAAGCACAGCTGTACGCATGATCACCTCTTTCATGAGCCAATGAGCAGCACACTTGCGAGCTGACGCCGAACATCCTGGTACTCGCTCATCGCCTGAGAGTGGGCAGCTGGACACCGTGCCAGCTGATGGAAGAGATTGGGTGGCTCAGCTGCTGCAATGTCCAGGGGCAAGCTAATCTCCTGAGGCAATCTCTTGTTGCCTATGATAAAGTGGTTAAGGCATTTCTCCTCCAGAGAGCAGCGCAGGTTCACACTGATATCTCGCAGGTGCTGCAAGAAATACTTCCTGCGCCATTGTGACACGGGGAGACTGTTCAGGAGGTGCATGACGATGGTCTTCAGGGTGTAGGTGGAAAAGCCTGTGCCCAGCAGAAGGCGGCAGAAAAGCTGCAGACATCTCAGGTTGACCAACATCTCTTGCAGCCTGCAACTCACCTCAGAGCAGTCAAAGAGTGTCAATAAGGACTGGAGGGATCACAGCGTTTTCTGGATGCAGCTCCAACCTTGGCAGAAATAAACCAACCTACAACCCCCTGGCATGAGGCTTTCCCACTACCACTGGTCCCACCAAAGCCAATTCTCCTGTCCCGAGGCTGAAGGTAGAAGTGAAGATGAGGAGAGTAAAGAGAAAAGCAGCTGCATAAGTTCGAGCACTAGAGTGAAGTTCCTTTTAATGACTTTATGAAATGACATTACCAAATACTCCTTGGGTTAAAAGTGGCTTCCCATCGCAGTAGTATGGACTTGTTTAGGTTGAAAAAGATCTCTAAGATTGTAGAGAGTCCACCCACAAACCTGACATTGACAAGTCGACTTTGAAACCATGTCCCCAGGTGCCACATCCACACATTCCATAAGAGTCTCCAGACATGACAATATCATTAATTCCACGGGCAGCCATGACAACTCTTAACAACCTTTTCAGAGGAGAAATTTGTCCTTAATACCCAATCTAAGCCCCCCCCTGACAGAAGTTGAGGCCATTTCCTCTTGTCCTCTCCCTTGTTTCCTGGGAGCAGAGCCTGACCCCCACCTGGGGTGTGGCTCCACACTTCTGTCAGGGAGTTGTAGAGAACAAGAAAGCCCCCCTGAGCCTCCTCTTCTCCATTCTCAGCCCCTCCAGCTCCCTCAGCTGCTCCTCATCAGACTTAATCACCAGACCCTTTCCTGTGCTCAGGCCTTTGCCACCACTGCTTTGGGACCTGTTGCAGCATTCCACACTCCACACAGGCATGTTTTTATCTAACCCTTTCTTGCTCTGAGTGAAAGATTAACCCCTTTTCTTTGCAGTGACCTAACTTGCAGTCTGATTGCTGGCTCTGCTTGTTTACTTCCCTTTTGCATCACCCTCACAAAAGAAGAAGTCACCATACTAAAGAAACTGCTGCTAGAGGGGAGTAGAGAAAGTCAGCAAGTACTTTGTGAGCAATTCCCATCCTTTATTCATCAGTGCGTATGATTTGGGCTAGCCAAACAGTTGGAAATGGTTGTTTCCCTCTTCCCCTGCTCAGGGTGCTTTAACAAGGGAAGACTGATGTTCTGGAGAGGGGAAGTGCGTCCGCAGCCATTCACTTGTTATGATTCTCCAGGGCCAGAGTGGAATACGTAAACCTCTGGCTCCAGCTAGAGGCCACTCATGGCTGGGTTTCTAAGCAGAACAGATCTCTCTTTATGAAGTATCACTCTGCTCCGTTAAGGTGTGTGGTACAATAGGCCCAGTATCTCATAGGGAACAAGAAGACAAGAGAATAGAGAAATTGCTGCTTCCCGGGAAGTGGCTGAACATTGCTCGTCTATGAGAAGTAGAGAATAAATGTTTTTTCTCCTTTACTTCTGCATGCACAAACTCAATTTTTTCACTTCAATTAACAGCCTTATCTCAACTGACTACTTGTTTTCCATTTTATGTTCTCTCCCCTGTCACACTAGGAAAGGGAGTGTGATGGAGTGGCTTAGTGACCACCTGGCATTCAGCCAAGGTGAACCCACTACACCCATTCTAAAAAAGGGTAGAAAGGAACACTCTGGAAATGACCAACCCATCAGCCTCATGTCAGTGCCTCGGAAGATCACGGAACACATCCTCCTTGAAGCTATGCTAAGGCACATGGAGAACAGGGAGGTGATTTGGGACAGCCGAGGGTGAGTCTTGCCCGACCTACCCAGTGGCCTTCAATGATGGATCGAGTACATGAAGGGACAAGGGGAAGGCTACAGGTGTCATTTATCTGGACTACCGTAAAGCCTTTGACATGATCCCCAAAACATTCTCCCTAAATTTGAGAGAGGTGGATTTGGTGCCTGGACTGTTGGATGGATAAGAAATTGCATGCATGGTGCTTCCAGAGATCAACAGCTAAGAGTCAGGATGGACCTCAAAGTTCTGTTCTCTGAGCAATGTCTATTAATATCTTCATTAATCCTGTACACAGAGGTATCCTCAGCAGGTTTGCTGATGTCACCAAGCAGCAGCTGACACACCTGAAGAATGGAATGACTACTAAAGAGATGTGATGTGCTTGAGGAGTGGAACCATAGCAGTCTCATGTGGTTTAAAAAGATCAAGTATGAGGTGCTGCACCTGAGTCAGGGTAGGTCTCAGGATGCATCCAGGCACAGTCTGGCCCCAGGATGCAAAGAGGATGGGAGTTTCTGCCTGTCTGTGCCCTGTCAGCCTGTTGTGTAGGCCCCAAGGCAGCCAGGCTGTTACTACACCACTGTGTCCCTCGCTCTCTGTGCCCGGCACCTCCGGCCCTGCTGCCCTGCTCCCGGAGCCCTGTCCCCGGGCAGAGCCGTTCCCTGCCCGGGCACTGCCCCTTGGGGTGCTCCCTGCTGCGGCCTGGGCTGGCCCCAGAGCAGGGTCCCCCTGCGGGTGGCCCCGGGCGGGCCGCGTGTCCCCGGCCGGCTGTGCCCGGGCAGCTGCCTCAGCCGTGAGGGCTGCAGAGCTGCGGGAGCCCACGGCTCTCTGCCGGCCGCGCTGCAGAGCTCCCAGCTCCAGCTGGCAGGGCCTCAGCGCCCGCCCTGTGCCCTCCCGCAGGGACAGGCAGGCCAGGCCCTGCTTGCTGCCCTCATGGCGGCATTCCTGGCCCCTGCGCTCTCCAAGGGCTTCTCCAGGGGCACCCTCCTGCGGCCTTTGGGTCCCTGCACGGGAGCCGTGAGAGACCGGCACAGGGGCTGTTGGCAAGGGCCTGGAGGGACAGCGCCAGGGCCAGTGGCTTCCCACTGACAGAGGGCAGCCTTAGGCTGGAGCTGTGCAAGGACTTCTGCTCTCTGAGGCTGCTGAGCCTCTGGCCCACGCTGCCCACAGGAGCTGTGGCTGCCCCATCCCTGGCTGTGTTCCAGGCCAGCTTGGATGGGCCTTGGAGCAACCTGGCCTAGCGGAAGGTGTCCCTGCCCTTGGCAGCAGGGCTGGGACAAGACAATTTCTAAGCACCCTTCCAAGCCAAGGCATTCTGGGATTCTGTGATCAGAGGGGCTGGGGGTGGCTTGGCTTAATTTCGGCTAGAGATAATTCACCACTCTGAGTTTGGTTGAGTTCAAGGAGTCATGCTCATGAGCCCAGATTCACAGCCCGTGACATTTACCACTACTATAGGCCTGGCTGACATCAATAAAGTCTTGCACACTCCAGATTCTGCACAAATTGCCTTTTATTGACACCAGAGCAAAGCGTTTTCCAGTTTGCTACTTATAAATGCATTAACTCTAGAGCGGGAATATGGGTTGCAACAGATAGCAAGACTGGATATGGCTTTACATCTGTATAAAATTTATATCACGCATGTAATCTATTATAGGCATATGATATAGAATATATATTACAGAGTTATATTCATATTTAATGTATACAGCAAGTATATATCATATGTATGCTATATATGTAATAAATATATCTATTTTATGAAAAACCTTCCAGACATAAAGGGACTATGAGCAACAATATGTGTCACAACAGACACTGACAATAAATATGTCTTCTACTGTTACTATTTAAACGAAATTACATATGCAACTCTTTAAAATCACTTTTTATCCTGATGTAACTCCATATTTCATATTTTGATATTATTTATGTTACTATATTGTTTTGATTTATCGTATTTTACTAGTAGATATGATAATTCATAAACTTTATAGTATATAACAGGCATACACAATAGATCTATCTATGAAACAAAAACCTTGATTCTGCTATAGATAAAATTTCATGTCAGCTCCAACACACGTGGTCTAATGTTGACATAAAGGTGTCTCTTCCAGGGACATGGAGAGGCTCCATCCATTGACTCATCCCGGGTCACCAGTGCCAGTTTTTCCTCATATTCTTTTTTGCCCCATTTCTATTTTTCTTTTTCTGTCCCAGATTCCCACTTTTTTCATGCTTGAAATTTTAGCTCTCCTCAAAGGCTGGGAAGAACTGCATATTGCAGGTGGGGTTTGGAGACTTTAGCTCAGCATGTAGAGCAGGGCTCAATGACAGCTGGGTGCCTTTTTTGGAAAGTGAAATGATACAAAGAAGTAGAATAAACCCTCCCGTGGCAGTCCACTTTCTGAGGTGCCAGCAGAGGCTGTTGGACCTTCTCCAGAGCCTTTGCACGCATCCTCTTCTCCTTAGCACCAAATTTGTGCTAGGAGGTGGTTGTCTGCTGCCAGCTGCGAGCAGCACAAGCACTGCTCTGTGCACTTGGCCATGGCTCCTGCCCTTCCTTCAGTCATCCTCTCCGAGAGCGATCCTTTTGAACGTCTTGTGCAGCACCCGGTAATCCCGCATTGCCTGGGTGTGGGCAGCCGGCTGCTGCGCCAGGTGATGGAAGAGACTGTATGTCCTACCCATTCTTACATCTGGGGGTAAATTGATGTCCTGAGGAAACCTCCGGTTACCCACAATGAAGTGCTGGAGGCATTTTTGTCACAAACATATATGCAGGCTGTCCCTGATATCCGTCAGTCGCTCCCGGAGATGTCCCCTGCTCCACGATGACACGGGCATGGCAATGAGCAGGTGCATGACAATGGTCTTCATGGTGTAGGTGGAGAAGCTGAAGCCCAGAACAAGATGGGAGAAGAACTGAAGGCATTTGAGGTGCGAGCTGTCAGGGGGGGCCTGCCTGGCAATGTACTTGAAGAACTCAGCCTCTGCCACAGCGTAATACAACTAATCACCTTACTTTGTAGCCGCAACATCCAAGCCTGCACCACAGCCTGTTAACTACATATCCAATTATAACTTGTTACTTGTATCAACAACAACCCTTTTTATACAGACATTGTTAACAACATTGCCCAAAAGTTTAAATTTGCTTTTTTTGTTCATAACAACACTGTTGCTGCTGCTGATGGCAGAGTGCTGCTGCGCAGAAGCTTTATATCTTCTCTTTCTGTATCCCACGTTCCTTCCCCTCTCTTTTCCTCGGGGACGTGAGGTAGTTTTCTGCTACTGCCTGTGAAGCCCACAAGCACAGCTGTACGCATGATCACCTCTTTCATGAGCCAATGAGCAGCACACTTGCGAGCTGACGCCGAATATCCTGGTACTCGCTCATCGCCTGAGAGTGGGCAGCTGGACACCGTGCCAGCTGATGGAAGAGATTGGGTGGCTCAGCTGCTGCAATGTCCAGGGGCAAGCTAATCTCCTGAGGCAATCTCTTGTTGCCTATGATAAAGTGGTTAAGGCATTTCTCCTCCAGAGAGCAGCGCAGGTTCACACTGATATCTCGCATGCGCTGCAAGAAATACTTCCTGCGCCATTGTGACACGGGGAGACCGTTCAGGAGATGCATGACGATGGTCTTCAGGGTGTAGTTGGAAAAGCCTGTGCCCAGCAGAAGGCGGCAGAAAAGCTGCAGACATCTCAGGTGCAAACTGTCGGGGGGGGCCTTCCTGGCAATGTGCATGAAGAACTTCACCTCTGCCACAGCATAAGTCTCAGGCCATAGAGTGCTTGGGGTGCGTGTTTCCCTAGGCTGGCTGCTCACGAATATGTCAGAGCCACCTCTCCGCACCCCGAACAGGATCTCAATCCTGAAGCTTTCTCCGCCACTGATCGCCTTGAATTGGCAGGAGTGTGTGGAGGGCAGCGGGATTAAATTCCGGTTTTGTAACTGAGGCAAAGGTGGCATGATTGCTTTCACCAGTTGCTGGAACCAGCGGGCAGTTTTCTGCACGTCCAGGTAGGAGTCGGTGCACAGGGTGTCTAGGAGGCTGGGATCCTGATTGCTCCTCAGCTCCTCCTCGGGGTTGTGCAGGAAGCACAGCATGTTCTCACCCTGCTGCTGCCTCGTGCAGGTGCACTCCAGCTGCACGCGGACACGGAAGTTCCTCACGTGCCTCTGCCCCTCACCGTCCAGCTCCAGGTGGAAGCTGTGGCCTCGGGGAGGAGTCATGGGTATGAGCACACGGTACACGACATCCTGCTCCCAGGGACTCCAACCTTCAAAGGCACTGCCCACCCCGATGGGTCGGTGCAGGACTGGGTAGAAACTGTCAAACAAGACATGCCCAAAGTAAATTGTATAATCGTCCATCAGGTCAGTTATCCACTCACAGACTCTCTGCAGGTCCTCTACAGGCCCCTCTATGCGCTCCATTATATCTTGTCCAACACGATCGTCAACATTGTCTTCTTCTTCTTGGACTACATTTGCAACATCATTGTCATTGTTGTTTTCTGCAAGTGCAGCCCCATTGACAACATCATTTCCATCATTGTCATCTTCATTTCCAGCAACATTGCCAACTTCCTCTTCATTTGCACCATGGTTTTCTTCTTCATTCTCCTCTCTCCTCAGGCTGCTTTTCCACCCAATAATCCACAGCACCAAGACCAGGGCCAGGAGCACAGCAACAGCTAAGAGCTGCAAGTGTGGCATCTTCTTCTGGGAGAGCTGCTCCACCTGCTGCTCCAGCCGAAGCCTCTCCCATTCCAAGTACTTTGCACGCGCTTCCATGCGCCAATGTGCTTCCTCATCCAAACCATCACCCACGGGCGGCGGGTACTGGATGAGACCTTGCAAGAGCGCGAACAGGAACACGACTGGATCCATGGTCTGCAGGAGGAGGGAGAGAAGGCCTTGAGTGGGGAAGGGAGGGCGGGAACTACTGCTTGCTGCAGGGAGGACAGGATGCTCAGGGTTCTGGGCGCAGGAAGGACAGGGCCCCAGACAGCTGGCAGGCAGCAAGGGCTATCCCAGTGCCCCTGGAGCTGCAGCAGCAGCAGCAGCAGCCCTGTGGCCTGCCCAAGGCTCTCCCATGAGGGGCTGTCCCTGCCTGCAGGGGGAGAAGCCAGCCCCGGTTGCAGCGTTTCTGCCCCAGCCCTTGTCCCCAGCCCAGCCTCCCCGCCGTGTGTGTACTCACCGCTTGCCCAAGCAATAGAGGGCCAGCGTTAACCTGCTGGGGCCTTTTATTGCTTCCCCCTCTGTGACACGTCCCCTGTGATGTCACAGGTGCCAGAGCGCATCACAGACCAGCCAACCCCACCCTTTGTCCCCTCAGCCAACTCCTCCCTCAGGAACTCAGAAAGGCCCTGGTGCACTGCTTAAGGCTGCTTTTGAGGGAAGCTTCTTCAAATAACTCCCATTGTTCTCTCTTTTGGATTTATTTTCATCTGCCTTCCACTCACAATCTCATAGATATCCCTGTTGGAAGGCGCCCTTGAGGATCATTGAGTCTAAGCTTTGACTCCTCACGGGTTGAGCTACACTCAAATCTCAGAATCAGAGTGGTTGAAAAAGTCCCTGAAGATCCCACAGTGGGACCGCGAACCTAACACTGCCTACTCCTTTAAGAAATTGAGTCCTCAAATATTCCATGCCTTTTCAATCCCTCCAAGAGTGGGGACTCAGCTATTTCCCTAGGCAGCCACTTTCCACACTTGATAGTACTTTTGATGAAAGCAGTTTTTCTAAAATCCAATCTAAACATCTATATCTGATGCAACGTGAGGTCATTTTCCTTGTTCTTATTGCTTGTTTCCTTGTGTCACTGGACAAGTGGGATGTTCAGACATGCCCATTGTTAGCCAAAGATTTTGTCAACAGTTCATGTTTAAGAAATCACTCTGGCCCGCAAGTTCTAAAGATCAAATCTATTTATAAAATGAATTATTTATTAAATAAACAAGAGATAATAGATGAAAGATCTCGGAGTTACTTACTACTCAGTATAAAACTAAAAGGTACTAGACGTAGATTAAACCATAACAAACAATGTACAACATGAAGGTATCTATAGGAAAGCTTGTCAAAGAAACAGGAGTCAAATCTTACACACCACAGTGATGATGATGATAATTATTTGGATGTCTTTCACTTAACCTCCTCAGCAGTAATTGCAAAACAAGTGTCCTTGTCCACAAGAGAAACACCACACATTTCCAGAGAAATGTATAGAAAATTTCTGCTTTGTGAAAGTTTGGTATGGCTTTTTAGAGTTATAAAGTGAGGTGCCTGTCAGTGAGAAATCCAGCTTGTCTTTCCAGCTCTCACTTTAACAGTAAGATGTTTCTTGGCAGCTGGGAGATGCCAGCCCACTGTTAGCCCCACAGTGGCAAAAGAATTCACTGCAAGACTGTTATTCCTGTTTGAATTACCTGTCCAGGTAACAAACCACAGATCAGCTCTTGAGCAGAATGAGATGCCCTGCCACACCTGGGAGAAGAAATCAATCCCCACCCGGCTACAACCTCCCTTCAGGGAGCTGTAGGGAACTGTAAGGTCCCTCTGAGGCGCTTTTTCTCTCTGCTAAACACCCCCACTATTGCAGCGGGCAGTGTTCTGAGTGCCATGACCTTTCTGAAGAAGCCTCACAAAACACCTCGCCGTCTTTGCTCACACCGGGTGATTTCAGCTCTTTTATGATCCGGGCGACGCAGAAGAAGAGACGGGGTCTTTGTGGGGACTTCCAAGGTGAGCCTTTATTGAGCTTCTTCCTTGAGATGGTCCAGGGACAAAGAGCCACTCAGGCTGGGAAAGCAGGGATTTACACAGGGATCTTGAGGGGCGGGACAGAACACTAGGGCCAACGGGATGAGGGCACAGGGGTGGAGTGAGAGGGAAGGGCCAATGGGATACATTAAATCTGCATGTCACAACAAGGCATGCTGGGAGAAGCCTTTATCCTCAACCTAAGTGGGTATGGCTTGAGAGGTTTTCCCTCCAGGGGAGTGCTGTGGATTCTTTCCCTCTTGGCCCACCAGCCTCCACACCCCACTTCCCTCAGCCCTCTTTCATCAGACTTGTGCTCTTATAGAAGTGTTTCTAATAAAAAGGACTAGCATTTGTGGACATCAATGCCCTTCAAACTACATGCTCAGGGGCCCTTCTTAATTAGTTCCTGAGCTTGCTCTCCTACAACCCTTGGGAGTAGCTCTGCGGACAGTTTTTTCCATAACACCTAAGATTTTTTTTACTCAAGCACTTCTTGATTACTGTGCCCAAGACAGCATCAATCACCACTTCACCCACAAGAACATCTCTACAGACAAACTCCAGGTCTAGGAGGGCACTTTTCCTAGTTGGCTCCCACAGTACCCATGTCAAAAAGCTACTTTCAGTGTGTACTTCCAGAATTTTCTGGGCTTGTTCAGCTCTTCCCTATGATGTCTCCATTTGCAGCTAAGAAGTTGAGGTGCACCATGAGTATGACTTTGTGTGACTGATCAAGAGATTTCCTTTCATTCCTTAGAGCATTATCCACCAGTGTCATCATCCTGGCTCAGTGATCCCTTAGAGACTGAGTGAAGCTCACAGAGGGAATAGATTGTCTCACAAAAGGGATGGCAGACAGTGTCCAAGTGTGCTTTTACTCTAGAGGAAAGGTGTGGCAGCAATTCCCCCTGCTGATTGAGCAGTGCCTTCTCCATGTCCTGCATGCTCGGGTCTGTGTCAGATTTTGCCCAGGCAGTGTCTAAGGATGGGTAGCTCCTCCATACAGACCCCAGTGAACACAAGGAGGAATCTTAGCGATGCCTCTTGCATGGTCCCTGACCAGCTGCAGCTGCCAGCAAGAATTTCTGGGTCCATCTAAAATGGTCACCCTGGCTGTGACAGTGTTAGAGGAAAGGGGGATGAAAGCCATCTTCGTAGCCGCTGAAGTGTGACGACCCATGCTTAAGGGGAAGGAAGCGCTGAAGATTTGCGATCCAAATGAGTAACAAAAGTCAGGGGGTCCACAATCAGAAAACTTTATTACCTAACTACACACTGGGCTTGGAAATCAATATGTTAGTCCCCTGACATGAGCACAAGGCAGTGGGTTGTGGATAAAGGGGTAGGGTTAAAGGGAAGAGAAGAAAAAGAGGGAGAGATGAATTAAAGAAAGAGAGAAAGAAAAAGACAAAGAAGAAAAGAGAGACAAAAAAAGAACACCCGTCCTGGTTCCAGTGTTGATCCAGTTAATGGAATGTCAATCCTGGCTGCAGTGCCAATCCCGGCAATAATCCTGAGTTCAGCATCAATCCAGCTGTGCTGGTCTGGTCTATGAGATGTCCAGGGTCCTGAGGGCACTTTCCAGGCTTGGGGGTTACCTTTTTATCGACAGGTTTCTCTGCCCTAAACACAGGTTTCCCACTTTCTATGTCAATTAATTACCATGTACAGTCTTTTCTTTCAGGCCTTCCTGGACATGGGGCAGAGGGCTTTGGTGCTTTTTGAGGGTCTTAATCCTACTCTATAGTCCACGCTCTCTTCTTGGCCTTATTCTTGTGCTTATGCTGTACTGTGCTGTGGCTCTTTCTCACTGAAAAGTGCTGCCCTATTTCCGCCTGGCCCCCCTTCTCCAGCCATATCTTGGTCTTTCTCACAGCATTTTAATACCAGCAGTCCTTGGCTATTACCAACAGTTCCTGGTTGGCTCCACTGCCATACAATTATCAATGTTAGAGACTCACTCATTGCTCCCTTATATTCTGAGAATCAAGAGCTCAAAAGGTCTCCCTTTGGACACTTTACAGTTGCAACAGAGTGGGATTTAGTCATAGGAATGTTCCATCATTCAGGTCTTTTCTCTGTAACTTTGTTTGAAGGTTTGTCAACAAGAATATTATTCCACTTGGGTTCTTAGTCAAAAAAAGTCAGCAAAGAAAAATAAATCAGCAAAGAAAAATAATTTTCCAAGGCTGTTCATTAAAAAAAAAAAGAAAAAAAATTGCGCTAATTAGACACCTGTTAGTTCCTGGGAACAAATAATGTTTCTGATACATTCAAAAGGAGCTTAATATAAATGGAGTTTGTCAAGGCTTAGGCCTAATGAGGGTTTCTCAGATTGTAGTGCAGCCAGGGGCAAGGGGAGTCCATCACCACAATCCGCCCTGCAATGGAAGTCAGCTTCTCTGGGCCTCCACACGGTAGTCATCTCTGGATGCTGTGCTGGGGAGACTGCCAAGACAACCCTGTTATGGACAGGCTTACAACGAAAACTTCAAAGTAACAAAAAAAAGCAGGCCAGTTAATTACAAACAAGTAAGCCTGTTTATTACAGACAGAACAACTGGAAGCCAAAGCCTCCAGCTAGTCTGGAGACTGTTTCAACAATTTAGTAATTGTACACCTAGGGGCATTTCTAAGGATACCAGCTCCAAGCAAAGACCTGGGTGTCACACACCCCAGGCCTTTTAAAGTCTCTCTCTTCTTCCCTTACTGGGGCGCTCAGGATCCGTGCTGTGATCGGTTTCTTTTTCTGTTGCTGATTGGCCCATAAGCTGGTGCAATCATTTTGAGATTCTTGCTTCTTATTGGCTGGTCTCTCCTCCAGTCTTAATCCAAGCTGTGGCTGTGCTCTACGATGTTATACTTCTAGAAGCTTCTCTGCCCCCCCTCCACAAAGATTGGCATTTCCTCCCTGGTTCCAGTCCCCTTTCAGGTGTATACAACAGTATTGATCTCTAATACAACTAATCACCTTACTTTGTAGCCACAACATCCAAGCCTGCACCACAGCCTGTTAACTACTTATCCAATTATAACTTGTTACTTGTATCAACAACAACCCTTTTTATACAGACATTGTTAACAACATTGCCCAAAAGTTTAAATTTTTATTTTTTGTTCATAACAACACTGTAGCTGCTGCTGATGGCAGAGTGCTGCTGCGCAGAAGCTTTATATCTTCTCTTTCTGTATCCCACATTCCCCTCTCTTTTCCTCGGGGACGTGAGGTGGTTTTCTGCTACTGCCTGTGAAGCCCACAAGCACAGCTGTACGCATGATCACCTCTTTCAGCAGCCAATGAGCAGCACACTTGCGAGCTGACGCCGAACATCCTGGTACTCGCTCATCGCCTGAGAGTGGGCAGCTGGACACCGTGCCAGCTGATGGAAGAGATTGGGTGGCTCAGCTGCTGCAATGTCCAGGGGCAAGCTAATCTCCTGAGGCAATCTCTTGTTGCCTATGATAAAGTGGTTAAGGCATTTCTCCTCCAGAGAGCAGCGCAGGTTCACACTGATATCTCGCATGCGCTGCAAGAAATACCTCCTGCGCCATTGTGACACGGGGAGACTGTTCAGGAGGCGCATGACGATGGTCTTCAGGGTGTAGGTGGAAAAGCCTGTGCCCAGCAGAAGGCGGCAGAAAAGCTGCAGACATCTCAGGTTGACCAACATCTCTTGCAGCCTGCAACTCACCTCAGAGCAGTCAAAGAGTGTCAATAAGGACTGGAGGGATCACAGCGTTTTCTGGATGCAGCTCCAACCTTGGCAGAAATAAACCAACCTACAACCCCCTGGCATGAGGCTTTCCCACTACCACTGGTCCCACCAAAGCCAATTCTCCTGTTCCGAGGCTGAAGGTAGAAGTGAAGATGAGGAGAGTAAAGAGAAAAGCAGCTGCATAAGTTCGAGCACTAGAGTGAAGTTCCTTTTAATGACTTTATGAAATGACATTACCAAATACTCCTTGGGTTAAAAGTGGCTTCCCATCGCAGTAGTATGGACTTGTTTAGGTTGAAAAAGATCTCTAAGATTGTAGAGAGTCCACCCACAAACCTGACATTGACAAGTCGACTTTGAAACCATGTCCCCAGGTGCCACATCCACACATTCCATAAGAGTCTCCAGACATGACAATATCATTAATTCCACGGGCAGCCATGACAACTCTTAACAACCTTTTCAGAGGAGAAATTTGTCCTTAATACCCAATCTAAGCCCCCCCCTGACAGAAGTTGAGGCCATTTCCTCTTGTCCTCTCCCTTGTTTCCTGGGAGCAGAGCCTGACCCCCACCTGGGGTGTGGCTCCACACTTCTGTCAGGGAGTTGTAGAGAACAAGAAAGCCCCCCTGAGCCTCCTCTTCTCCATTCTCAGCCCCTCCAGCTCCCTCAGCTGCTCCTCATCAGACTTAATCACCAGACCCTTTCCTGTGCTCAGGCCTTTGCCACCACTGCTTTGGGACCTGTTGCAGCATTCCACACTCCACACAGGCATGTTTTTATCTAACCCTTTCTTGCTCTGAGTGAAAGATTAACCCCTTTTCTTTGCAGTGACCTAACTTGCAGTCTGATTGCTGGCTCTGCTTGTTTACTTCCCTTTTGCATCACCCTCACAAAAGAAGAAGTCACCATACTAAAGAAACTGCTGCTAGAGGGGAGTAGAGAAAGTCAGCAAGTACTTTGTGAGCAATTCCCATCCTTTATTCATCAGTGCGTATGATTTGGGCTAGCCAAACAGTTGGAAATGGTTGTTTCCCTCTTCCCCTGCTCAGGGTGCTTTAACAAGGGAAGACTGATGTTCTGGAGAGGGGAAGTGCGTCCGCAGCCATTCACTTGTTATGATTCTCCAGGGCCAGAGTGGAATACATAAACCTCTGGCTCCAGCTAGAGGCCACTCATGGCTGGGTTTCTAAGCAGAACAGATCTCTCTTTATGAAGTATCACTCTGCTCCGTTAAGGTGTGTGGTACAATAGGCCCAGTATCTCATAGGGAACAAGAAGACAAGAGAATAGAGAAATTGCTGCTTCCCGGGAAGTGGCTGAACATTGCTCGTCTATGAGAAGTAGAGAATAAATGTTTTTTCTCCTTTACTTCTGCATGCACAAACTCAATTTTTTCACTTCAATTAACAGCCTTATCTCAACTGACTACTTGTTTTCCATTTTATGTTCTCTCCCCTGTCACACTAGGAAAGGGAGTGTGATGGAGTGGCTTAGTGACCACCTGGCATTCAGCCAAGGTGAACCCACTACACCCATTTTAAAAAAGGGTAGAAAGGAACACTCTGGAAATGACCAACCCATCAGCCTCATGTGAGTGCCTCGGAAGATACCATCTACCAGCCCAGGAGGACAGTTGTCCTGAGGACAGGCTGTCTTTCTGTTGAAACTTACGGCGAGGGCTGGTCCTGGATGGTTGGGACAGATGGAGACAAAAGATCTCTGGAGTCAGGTCTCAGGGTATATGGTTTATTGTGGTGCCCTGCTCGGAGCTGCCAGCCACAGCTCGAAGCAGGCCCCAAGGAGTGGGGGTAGGGCGAGATAGAGAGAAAGTTCTAAGAGAGGGTCCAGTAGAGTAGGAGAAGGGGCTGGAGTAAGGGATAGGAGAGAGAGAAGAGAGAAAAAAGAGCTTGGTCTCCTGGGAACACCTTATCATGGGGGTTTCAGAGGGGGGCGTGGAAAAGGACTTTGGACCAATGGAATTACAGATATATCATACTTCAGGGGAGGGTTACAGGTGTGAGATAGGCTCATCGCAATCTGGCTTGCATTCTCTGCACTTTCCAAATCCCCCGAAAAGCAATTGTACTTATAAGGCCTTCTTATTTCATCTTCCCCAATAAAAACTGAGGCAAAGAAGGTGCTAAGCACCGCTGTCTTTTCCTCATCCTTAGTTACTAAATTCACTCTCTCATCTAATAGAGAATGGAGGTTGTCCTTGCTCTCCTTTTGCCACTAATGTGTTTATAAAAATATTTTTATTGTCCTTTACAGCAGTGGCCAGATTGAGTTCTAACGGGGCTTTTTCCTCTCTAATTTTTTTTCACCATATTCTTGTCTCCCTTTTGACCACTAAAAGCCAGCAGCCAACCTCCCAATGTGAGACAAGAGACCATAATTGTCCAAGCAAAACTGAAGACGAAGACCCCAGCATACCTGGATTATTCTAATAGGCTTATATAATAGATTCCCTTCCTTTCATTTGCCACTTCTGCAATCCTACACATCTTACACTGAGAGTGGCATTCTCTCAGCTATATGTCATATGTCAAAGAATGTAATCAATGTGAATAAGTGTGCTGCCAAGCAAAAGGTAAGAATCTTAGGGTGCAGTGGTGTAGGGAATATACATGGTTATGTGTTAATACATGACACATAGAGGTTGGTTCAATTGAGTCACTGCAGACAGAGTTAAATAAGATCTGCTCACTTCTGAGCTGAAGATATTTATCTTTCTTAGATGATATGGACCACCCATGAACAGGGTTTGAGTATTCAGATGGGCCCGGCTTGATCACCAAGCATTAAGTGAGCTGAAATAGTGTTAGTGAACAGAGTAAACATAATCAGCCTTATTTCTCTGCAGGCAGTTATGAAGAAATGTGCCACTGATTGATTTTTGCTGTTACACTTCCTTCATATATATTCATAGCTCTGTAGATTATTGTTGTACATAGTTCCTCATGAGTACTTCCCCTCACCTTTTCCCTACCCTGATAGGAAGAAATACAAAATACATTTCAGAGTCTCTAAACCCTGAGGGTTCAAGGCCCCTGTCCTATCGTAGTTCTTGCTGGGAGCCGAGGTTGAAACTAGCTCTTTGAGACACATTTTCAAAAACAAAGTTTAGCTCCTATCTAAAAGCAGAGGCTGGGAGAGGATTAAAGATGGTTAAACAGGCAGGAATTACTTCATCACTTGCGCATCTAATTGAGAATTCCTGTCAGTTATGTTAATTTGCTAAACTTATAAAACTGTATTCATCCCGTGGTGGGAGGAGGGGGGGCATTTTTCCATATCTTCCCCTGGAGGCCTGCAATAAAGACCAGCCTTTATGTTATCTCCTATATTAATATTGGCTCAAAAGCATGTTGTTTCACTTCTAGGTCTTTAAGACCTACCACCAACACCAAGGTAAGCACCACTGAACAGTTGTACTCTCCCATTTTATGGGTTCTGGCTAAAACTTTTAAACTTCTATATCAATTTAAGCAGCATGCTGCTCACTGGTTATACAAAGTACCTTATTTGTATTAAACTTAAAGCTGTCACAATTTTTTGTTTGGTTGGGGTTTTTTGGTGGGGAGAGTCGTATAGTTATCTCCTCCTCCAGCTGAGGCATCTCTCTGGAGGCTGTGACCAGTGCTGAGAGCTTGGGTGAGCTCTGGGGGCAGCTCAGTGGCTGAGTGTGGCTGCTGTACGGACGCAGGTGGTGTGTGGACAGCAGCCTTGGCATGAGCTCTGCCAGTTTGGTGCTGGTGTCTGCCAGGTTGGACTTGGGGGCAGCAGAGAAAACAGCTGTGTGAGGTGGATGATCTGCTCAGCAGAGCTCACAGAGGATGGAGAAATTGTTGAGGACTCTGGAGGAGCTGTACTGTACCCTCCCTCAGACAATTACAGAGGCTGTCCAAGGCAGTCAGACATTGAACAAGCTGCCCAGAGTTGTGCAGGACTCAGCATCCCTGGGCATGTTCAGAAGAATGCGTGACTATGAAACCTGAGGTCACACCTGGTTTAATGGTGAACAGGATCGTTGGTTTGACAGCTGCCCTTGCTCTTAAACCCAAGCGGCTACACAGCGGCTCTCTTCACTTAGTGTTTCTTTTTTGCAGTCTATTTTTTACTTCCGTTAGTAGCTTGCACCTATTGCTTCTATCTCCGTGCGAACACTAGGTCAGAGGGAAGGATTATTGCGCTTTACCTAGCGCTCTGCCAAAGTTATTTTCATTTTTCCCCCTTGCACACACGGGACCAGAGCCGCTGAGGGGCGCGCCGCCCGCCCGCCGCTGCAGTGCGCAGGCGCGGGGCGCGCGGGCCGGCGGGAGCCGCGCGGTTTGAAGGACGGCCATGGCGGCGCGGGCCGGGAGCTCGGCTTCGGCTCCGGCTCCGACCTCGGTCCCGGCTCCGGCCCCGGCTCCGGCCCCAGCCCCGGCTCCGGCTCCGACCTCGGCCCCGACTCCGACCACGGCCCCGGCTCCGACCATGGCCCCGGCTCCGACCTCGGTCCCGGCTTCGGCTCCGGCTCCGACCTCGGTCCCGGCTCCGGCTCCGGCCCCGGCTCCGGCTCCGGCCCCGGCTCCGGCCCCAGCCCCGGCTCCGGCTCCGACCTCGGCCCCGGCTCCGACCACGGCCCCGGCTCCGACCACGGCCCCGGCCCCGGCTCCGACCACGGCCCCGGCTCCGGCTCCGGCTCCGACCTCGGCCCCGGCCCCGGCATCGTCCCAGGGCGGCAGCGGAGGCAGCGGCGACAGCGTCGGCGTGGATATCTGCAGTCTGCTGCGGTTAGTGCCGGCGGGACGGGGAGCAGGGCCGGGGTGGGATGAAGGGATGCAGGGATGCGCAGCTTCTGACCTTTGTCGCTTTATCCCGCCGCAGCCTAAGGAACCAAATGAAGGAGCAGCTAATGGAGTACAAATCGGCAATTCTCACTTGTAAGTGTTTATCTCCTCGCATTGGGATGTTACACTAACAATGAATGGGATGTAGCATATATATATAATTTTTTAAAATATAATTTCCCAATATTTTATTTAATTATTTATCAAAAGTGTTCCTTACAGTAATAATGGGGTTTTCCCCCTGGCTGTTCGTTTTAACACGTTTTCTAGGCATCTTTTGAGACATATATGAATGTTTACAAAGATGCCATATAGCTTTCCTTTCCTTCCTTTTCTGGATTTGAACTTTAGGCTCCTCTGACATGTAGCGATGGTTTTCAGAAACCTGGTCACTGAGGCTGTAGTCTTGCCAAAAGTTTGCCAAAGTGTTTGGCAGCAATACTGATTTAAGATGTTTCCATTACCTGTGGAGTCACAAGATGATTTGGGTTGGAAGGGACATTAAACACATCTGTTTCCAAACCCCCCACCATGCACATCGACCCCTTCCACTAGACATTCTTGCTCAGAGCCCTATCCAACCTGGCAACCTGATCTTGAGCACTCACAGGGATGAGGCATCCGCAGCTTATCTGGGCAATCTCTCTACCAGTGCCACATCACCCCACAGTATAGCTAATGTAAACCTACCCTCTTTCAAGTACAAACTGTCCCCCTTTTTCCTGTAGATACGTACCCTAGTAAAAAGTTCTTCTCCAGTTCTCTTGTAAGGTCCATTCAGGGACTGGAAGGACTCAGCAAGCAACCTTCTCCAAGCTGAACAACCACTCTCTCAACCTCTTCCTCATAGGAGAGGTGCTCCAGCCCTCTGATCACCTTCATTGCCCTCCTCTGGACCTTCTCTAACAGATCCATGTCCTTATGTTGAGAGTCCCAGGCCTGGATGTAGTGCACCAGGTGGAGTCTGCCAAGAGCCAGTCAGAGGGGCAGAATCACCTCCCTTGACCAGCTGGCCACATTTCTGATACAGCCCAGGATGAAGCTGGGTACATGCTCTTCCACTGAACTATCCAGTAGTATATATAGAGCAATATCATGAACCCAGCTCTACTCATCTGAAAAATGCTAAATTAGTAATTTCTCTGATACAGCTGATTGATAGCATAATCTCATTAACTGTAAAAGATAATAAAGTTTGGAGATAGAAGTAAGAAATAACTTGTTCATGCAAAAAATGCTAATCCATTATGTTCTATAGGTTGTATTTAAAAGTCTCTGTGGTGCTTGTTTTAACAACATTCTCTTCTGCAGGTCAAGAAAATTTCCTTGATCAAGAAATTGAAGAAAGTGTTATCCAGAGGTATGTCACTGGATAACTGCAAAATTCTTTTCTAGTTATTCCTTCTTAGTGAATTGCTGGATAACAATCAGTACTTCAGAGAAGATTGGTGAAAATAATGGAAACTAAGAGGAAATGTGGGGAAGAAATGCTTTATTCATTCTCCCAATGTACTTCTGTATGTAATGTGGCTTTTAAATTTGCAGTCCTTTATGTGATGGCTAGAATTCACAAATACAGTTTCAGATGCTAAATTACTCCTGGCCCTAATGATGTGTGGCTCACATGAAAAATTCTTACATAAGAGAAATGGAAAGCAATTTAAAATGTCACACTGCTTTTAAACTCTGTTATCTTCACACTCAGGTCATCTGTCTTACTGCTTTTTGTCTTTCAGTGCCACAGAACATTTGGAAAACGATATAGAAGAAGTAAAAGTCTCTTTCCATAACAAGATGTTGGCCTTGCAAAGGTAGAATTTTCTTCACCCTTTATTTGGAGCTTTCTTTTCTGTGTTTGCATACATAGATGCATATATACATAGGTCTGATTAAAACAGGATTTTAAAGTGATATGGGAGATTGGGGAGCTTTAAGTACTATTGAACAATAGGAATGCAGATTGATATGCTGTAGAAAACAAAACAAAAAAAAGCCCACCAAAACTAAAAGCTTACAGGCTGAAATGTGTACATCCAAAAGTTCCTTTACAGTAGGGAAAGAGTGACTGTACAGATCAGTAAGCATATTTCTTAGCAATATTTTCCAAATGACTATGAAAAGATGGAAGTTGATAATGTTAGACATCCCATGTGTTTCATGGCTGTTGATTTGAATTCATACCTTTGCCCAACTTCCTTTCTGCAGACTCTAGGATTAATGGTGTCCAAATATGTTGGTCAAGAGAAAAAGGAGTTGTCATTCTCACAAATAATCATTGATACTTCTTTCCTGTCCTGAGAGTTAAGCCCCATTGTTTAAGAAGTGTGGTATTTAAAAGGTACAGAGTATTTTGCTTATATAATTCCAATGTGAAAGTGGACAAAAGTGGAATCCTGGAAATTATGTTCTTATATTACTTATTTAAATCTGCTTCTCTCAGCTTCCTGCTTCTCTGTTTCTTATGAGTTCTCATCAGTCATATGCTATTTTTTGCAATATGCAGGACACAAATTTCGGATGCCCTGAGAAACAAATTGAAACAAGGTGACGAGGACTCACGGTAAGGTGTTCTCAGAAGTCAGATGGCTAGAAAGCAATGGACTTTGTACAGTTTATTGTGACACATTTCTAGATTATTTTATTTTACCTCTTATGAAAGAAAGCTTTCTTTTTCTAGATTTGACAGAATGATATACTGTCTACCTTCTGGCTAGAATCAGCATGATCTGATTTCATACACTCATGGTAGATTTGCATTTGGGCTCTGACTTTACCCAGCTTGACAGAGATCATAGCTCTTGATTCACTAGTGAGAACTGCTTGTAGCCAAGAGAGCTTTTTGTCTTTAGTGCCTGAATTACCAGCATTTATAATAGCTGAGCACATTACAGGCTTGTAATGGGGCCTTGCCTCTGCTTTCCTGCCTTTATTAGTGTAGGAGCAAAATGTTTTTGAAGTAGAACTGAAAGCTTAAACATATTTAAAAGTAGCTTTTCACTGCCTGCCCATTATTAACAGGTGGATGCATATGAAGTGTAATATGAGAAATTTAATTTCTGTCAGAAATACAGCTAAGAGATTGCATCTCCTTGATTTAGGAGCTTTAATTCATAGCCATTTCCAGATGGCTAGGCTTTCTTGATGCCTTCCAAACTCTGTGATATAAAATGTTGAACAGACTTAAATGAAATCTTAGGGAAATCATGAGGGAAGTGACAGAACTCTTTGGCCTCTACAATGACACTGAATATATTAACTGTAAAAAGAAATGATATTGTAAGTGTAAGCACAAAAAGAAGTGACATGTAGTATTAATTTGCTATTAGGAGAAATTAGAAATTCTTTATTTAAACTAAATAAAGTTGATTAAAACATTTATAATATTGACTTATATTCATGGTCTTAATGTATGCAACTGTTTCCTTCCTTAGTCTGATCCTGGAAACAATGAAACACCTAGTATTGCTCAGCCAGACAATAATTGACTATCAGAAGGTAAGTGGTAGTTTTAGCTTCTGTTACTGTTGTGCAGGGCAACCAACCCCACATGGGCAGGAATGTGCTTTGAAAGCAACAGGAGGACTGCACAAGTCATTCAAAACTAAACATGTGGGAACATGGGTGCAGTTCCTACTGCTGTCAAAATTAAGAATTTTTTAAAGTGATTGTGTAAGTAAGTCTATTTTAGAGTTGCCCTTAGCTGTGTTTGTGGATTGAATTAGCATATTTCAATATTTTTGAAGACAGGAGTCTGGAAAATACTTTTTTTTTCTTTCAGAAAATACATGAGAAGGAACAGCAGCTGATTAACATTAGAAGGGAAAGACTCTGTAAGTGTATTATCTGTATTGACTTTAGTTTATATTTTAATGAAGAGTTCATATAGTTCATATTTTAAAGTTGTTCTTGTAGCAATATTAATTTACATGGGAAGTAACAAAACTCAACACAGTTATTAAACTTGTTAAAAGAGTAGAAAATACTGTAGAGACAAGCTGGTATGTTCCCTACTTGAACTTGAGACTGACGTGTTAGAATGAGAGATGCAAGACAACACTCAAAAACAATGTGGCAGCATTTTATTATTTCATGTAAGGTCCTCAGAAAGTTACACATTGTTTTGTCATTTAAATCACCCCTGCAGCAACTAAAAGATACTTTTTTGTCATATTACACATTTATGAGGTGCTTGCAGAATAGAGATGGAATTTACTTAAGAAGAAGTGTGTATATACTGGTGTTCAGTAGCCTTGTTAGAGTGGTTCAAATTTAGATATGACATCATATTCAGAACTTTAACAATTTTAACAGCTATTGTTTGAGTCATGTGTGGGGAGTTGTGTAAATATTGACGGTGATGAACAAACACAATGAAATAAATGTTCACATGGGAAAAATGAATATACTGATATCTTTGCAAATAAAGGAAGGAATCCTCTGCCAGCATTCTTTCAGTGTATGAACTGCCCCTAAACACTTAATCTGTCTAGTTTTTAACCTGGTTTCCTATAAAAATAGTAATATTCTCTGGTCATGTCCACATGCTCCTTGTATGACTTTGGAATTTGGTTTCAGTGAAATCTGAAAAAGAAGTAAGGGTCTTTAAAAGGTATAAAAAAGACCTACAAAAGTTGTGGCACTCGAAAACAGGGTATGCAGAGATGCAAATTAGCCCCTGTGAGGAAAATGCAGGCAGCATACAATGTACTTTCTGTTTTGCTGTTGGCCAGGGAGGCAATTGATGTAGTTTGATCTGTGTACCAAGTAGCCACAGCATGTGTTGCTTCTTTCGTAGAAGAAATATATTGAGTTATATTGGAGGGAAGGAGTGGAGCATGAAATAAGGGTTATGCAGTGGAAGTGCATTAGGTGGCTGTGAGGGAAAGAGTATCTTCAGTTCTGCTGTACACCTAACTACTTAATGCTTAATTTTCCTAATAATGTAACAGCACTGAAAGTATATGGAGGACAGAAACTACAGCAAATTCAGACCATGATGAAAAGGCAAAAGGAAAAACAAGCAAGTATGGATGTCAGGAAAATAGAGAAGATGCTTGCTAACTTAGAAAAAGAAAGAGAGATGACTACAATAATTCAAAATGTGTTCCAGGTAATGTTGTGTGGCTTTTAGAACCAAGTTTACAATTTTTCACGATACTTAAGATAATATACTGTATGGCAAATATAGCTTAACAACACAAAATTGTTTTCTAAAACCTTTAAGTTTAACAGTGCTAATGGAAGGACCGTGCATAGAAGGAAGACTTCTATTGCTTTAAAGGCTAAGAGAATGAAATTGTCACAAGCATCTTTGCATTAATTTTTTGCAGAGTTTAGAGACAGGCTGTCAATCTATCTTTGTTTCCTTAAAGGTACAAAAATAATGTATCTTTCTTGAAGAATGTCTGTCACAGTAATGGCTGTATTTCCTTCTGCTCTGAGTAACCTCTACACCCTACCAAATCAGTTTCCCCACCTCATGGTTAGAAAAAATATGTTACCAGGGAGCCTTCATCTGCCTCTTCTGGCTTTCTCTGTTTGTGTCACCCCCTAGAGTCCTGTGGAAGCCTTGGCCTGCAACCACAGCCAGTCTCCAAATTCTTTCAGCAGTGTAGACTTTGCCCTTTTGGTTATCCATGTGTCTGGGGCTGCTAACTAGTCTGTATACATGCAGCGACTGGTAGGTCACCTGCAATGTGAAATCATGCAAATAATGTAAAATCATGGTTTGGGTTAGGGTGGAAAGGTCTCAGGCTGCATAGGAATATCAAGGACAAAAATATGGCTGCTACTATTTTGCATTGCTAATGTCATTACATCTCAAATTGAGAACAACAAATTTAGATGATTTCTAAATTTAGATTAGAGTCTAAAACTATCTCCTGGTTTTGCATTCCTGAAATTTTCTGAGCCCTAAGTAGAGTAAATCCTCTTTGGTTAAATTTAAATTTCCCTTTTCAATCCAGAATGGCAGGGTGAGAATGTTAACTGGGTTATTTTGTGTTTGTGGCAAACTGTATTTCATATTGTTAAAAACATTCTCTACATGTCTGTGTTTAGCATATATGTAGTATGAAGGCCCTCTAGGAAATAAAAGAGCATGGATTTGGGTTTTTTTTGCCTTTGTATCAACAACAGGATTAATTCCCTTTCTCCTTTTTCCCTTCATCCTGTCTACTTCAAACACTTAGGTATTTCAAGGGCTTTCAAATCAAAAATTATAAAGCCAATTTATTTTGAGATATTTTACTAAGAATTGTCCTTTACAAGTGCTTGTTTTAACCTATAAATCTTTCTCATTTATAGAACATCATAGTTGGAAGCAAAGTTAACTGGGCAGAAGATCCATCTTTAAAGGCAATTGTTCTACAGCTTGGAAAAAATGTCTATCTTCAGTGAGTCAGGAGACATGGTGTTTATTGTTATTCAGTGTGTGCATTTTGACTAAATTTGATAGATTATATGTATCTCAAAAATACACTTCAAGACTTAAAATTTGACCTTTCTGAAAGCTGTTGTTCCCTCCAGAGAGTTAGAATGTGTCAAAGCGGGTAGTAGAGCTGATAAAATGAAACTAACTGCAGACTCAGTTCTCAAGCAATCCTGTCTTTGAGCACTTACATTCCTCTGAAAGGCAGCAAGAACACAAGAAAAGTTTCAAGGTTTCATGTAGAAATGGACTTAAACTGAGGATTTGCTGTACCCCTTTCCTGGGGACCAGCAGGCCGTAGGGCTCAAGCAGGATGCACGACCCTGCTCTGTCCCAGTCAAAAGCCCAGTCAGGAAAATTTATGAACAAGTCTAGAGTTGGGATTATTTTTATTATTAAGGCATAATGTATAATTTTAAACACCAGAAATTCTATGCTCTTTTTAGCAGTGACTCTTGTCTGCAGAGGTAACTTTATACTGTCAACTGTGCAGCTAAGCAGTGTTGTAATTGCAAGTCTTCATTAGCATTTGTGCTTTTTTCAGTGTTGTTTGATGCCTGAAGGAAATACCGTTGAGGCGTAACACAATTAGGGAGCGTGTAATGTCCCTTCTTATCTTGACGTGTAAAGTCATTTTTAACTTGATGAGTGATCACTTGCTATTTTTTTTTAGATGAGTGCCTTGATCTAATAAAAACTAAATGAAGAGAATGCTAATTTTCCTGAGAATGTTTCACTTGGCTTAGCGTTTCTTTAACTCACGGTGAAGCGGTTTGTGAGGCAGGCCGCCCGCCGCGGAGGCCCCGCCCGCCGCGGAGGCCCCGCCCGCCGCGGAGGCCCCGCCCGCCGCGGAGGCCCCGCCCGCCGCGGAGGCCCCGCCCGCCGCGGAGGCCCCGCCCGCCGCGGAGGCCCCGCCCGCCGCGGAGGCCCCGCCCGCCGCGGAGGCCCCGCCCGCCGCGGAGGCCCCGCCCGCCGCGGAGGCCCCGCCCGCCGCGGAGGCCCCGCCCGCCGCGGAGGCCCCGCCCGCCGCGGAGGCCCCGCCCGCCGCGGAGGCCCCGCCCGCCGCGGAGGCCCCGCCCGCCGCGGAGGCCCCGCCCGCCGCGGAGGCCCCGCCCGCCGCGGAGGCCCCGCCCGCCGCGGAGGCCCCGCCCGCCGCGGAGGCCCCGCCCGCCGCGGAGGCCCCGCCCGCCGCGGAGGCCCCGCCCGCCGCGGAGGCCCCGCCCACGGCTGGCGTTAGGGTTGTGGGCGGGGCCCGGGGGCTGCCCCGCAGGCTCCTCACCATGGGCAGCAAGATGGCGGCCGCTACCCGGGCGGTGCAGGTAAGGGCGGCCCCGGGCGGCAGCGTCTTAGACACCCGGAGCCTTGGCTGGAGCGGCGGGGCTCGCTTCTGCTGCCGCCGCGGAGCAGCAGGCGTGAGGCGGCCGCGGGTTGAGGACACGCCGCCGGGGTGGCCGATGTCCTTGGGGAGAGCTGTGCAGAGGCGGGCACGCGGTGTCGCAGGCGCCGGGCACTGTGAGAGCAGCGGGTGCGGAGCTGGCTGGCAGCTCCTTCCTAAGATGTGCCTCTCCAAGGTGAAAGTGCTTTGTACAGGCAGAGCACAGCTCGCGATTCCGTGCGCTGGAGAGCTGTGGAACCACGGCATGGGTTGGATCGGAAGGGACCTTAAAGGTCACCTAGTTACAGCACCCCCGCCGTGGGCAGGGACTCCTTCATTACACCAGGTTGCCCAAAGCCCCGTCCAGCCTGGTGTTGGACAATTCCAGGGATGGGACAGCCCCAGATGCTCTAGGCAACTCGTGCCAGTGCTTCCCAACCTCAAAATAAAGAATTTCTACTTAATCTTTCCAATCCAAACCTGCCCTCTTTGGGTTGTAAGGTCTCCCCAGAGCATTCTTCAGGCTGAGCATTCCCAGCTCTCTCAGCCTGTCCTCACAGGAGAGGTGCTTCAGCCCTCTGATCATCTTAATGGCCCTGCTCTGGACACGCTCCAGCACATCAATGTTTCTGGTGTTTTTTTTTTGTTTTGTTTTGGTTTTTTTTTTTGTTGTTGTTTTTTTGTTTTTTTGTTGTTCTCACCAGAGCAGATTTCATTGTGATTTCATTTATGCAGTGGCAGTGGCTGCTTCTGCACACACACACACACACACACACACACACACACACACACGCAGATGAGAAAAGGCAGACAAAGCCTGTATCTGCTCTGGACCTCAGGGTGCAGGACTATTTTTTAAAGTAACCTTCTTTACCTGGGGTAAACATAGGACTTCAAGAAGCAGTAAGTCTATCAGAGTAGTGGAAAGAGCAGCTGTTTAGAATTGGTTGTTTGATACATGGTGCATGCCATTTTATTAGTCACGGTAACCTGTGTCTGTTTCTCCCACTACCTGGTCTCCTTCTAGGTAGTCAAGCCACATACTCCATTAATAAAGTTCCCAGACAGAAAAAGTGGTCCCAGACCTAAAAGTAAGTATTTTGGGTATGGATATAGCTTCTGCCACATTTCTTTACTGTTTTATTTAAGAACCAGGACCCAATTTCTCTCTTTCAGCTTTACAGCTGAACTGAGTTGCAGTGAAGTTTTTGAAACATGCTTGGTTTGGTTTGAAGGAAGCTCTTGAACTTTCTTCACAACTTCTTTTCTGTGCAACTGTGTGCAGACACATAATACATGCACATCTTTATTTTTTTCTCAGGAAAGATTCACAAGGATTTACAGTGTTTGTTTTCTACTTTATATAAAGTCACATTTTCCCAAATATTAATATTTACTGAAATTACTATGCCCAAGTCAGTTTGAAGCAGCTTTAGCTATTCAGTGATATTTGCATAAATTATGTTGCATTTTCCTCATTTTTTCTTAGTTGAAATGTGATGTATTTTCTGCTGTATTTTCAAAACACGATTATAGCTGGAAGATTAAGCCCTCTACATTTTAAGAAGTATTTTCTTCTGTTACTAACTAATGGTGAGAATTATTTCATTGCAATCTTTGACATTAACTTTTATACCTATGTTGATATTCATGGTAGTCCCAATGCTATTGTATTAAAACAATTCAAGCAATATGTTGATTTAGAAGTCCTTTGGGGTCAAAAAGAACTGAAAGAAAAGTAGCAGTTGTCTTCAAAAGCTCCGTTGTGTTATTCTCACTTCTTTTGGTATTATACTGCGCCTAGCTATTTGTCACAGCATTATCAAGCCCGCAATTTAGCTTTAACTTTAATTTAACATTTGAAAGCCTCCACAGCGTATATAAATGCCTCTTCTGACTTGCCTTCAAACTCTTCAGGAGCTATTTTCTGCAATAACTTTCTGTAACAATTACGTATATTTTGCACAGTTCACCCAAACGTACCACCTGTCATGCCAGTGAATTACTTTCTCAAAAGCTTGAAAATGTGTTTCTGACCTCTGTGTCAGAAGATTCTTGTGACTGTGTCTTTTAGTTATGTTAGACTTTTCTACCTTCATCAGCATCTGTCATCTTGTTAGTAAACTGCAACCTACTTTGACTTGCTTGAATGCTGTAGCAAAATATGCATTCAATTGTACCAGATTGTTGCTCCTACATAGCTAAATGGCTCCTCAGAGCAACTGGGGATGTGAAAGGCCAGCCAGATTCTAGTGGGCCTATTACTACTGCAGCATTATGGTCTCAAACAGGGAAGGGAGAGATGTAATACGGACTGTAATAGAACTAAAGCAGCAACAGTAAAATTTCTGATTACTGCACTTCCGATGTTTTTAATTTGCTAATGAGTCTACTCCAACTACACTTCAGACTGAAAGTTATAGTAGAGGAAAAACATTGACAAATCTCTTTTGTGGTAGGCGAAACAAACTTGGAGAAACTGGTTTTTTTGTTTGTTTGTTTGTTTGTTTTATGTAAGGTGTATTATTTCTTGAAACAAAAATACCTTGTCTCCTGTTCACAATAAATATGCTGCTTCTGATGGGCTCACTTCTGCCTTGCTCTGTTTGGGATCTTCCATTATTTCTGAGCCACCTTGGGACTTTCAGACCCAGTCTTATGACTGACAGCTTCTTAATATGCCTCTCAATGGCAGCTTTGTCACTATGCTGCAGGTGTTTGATTGTTGGTCCCAGTCCTGCAACTGCATCAGACTCATGAAGGCTAAAACTGGCTCCCTCTCCTTTGTGGTCATTGGTCTTGCTGAAGCCAGGAAGGACAAAGGCAGGCAAAATTGTGGTGTTGTGGCTTCTCACATGCTTTTGTACATGCAATTTTCATGCTGCTTATTTTATAGTTATATAGAGCTTCTGTCCAGCTGTTAGATGTTGCACTTGTCTTGCTCATTTTTCTGGAGCACTGGGAAGGACTTTGGTGGAAGCATTCTGCTTTGTCAGGTGTTTTACCCTTACATATCACAGAATCACTAGGTTGGAAGAGACCTTCAAGATCCTCGAGTCCAGCTCATGCCCTAACACTTCAGCTAAACCATGGCACCGAGTGCCACATCCAATCTTTTTTTAAACACATCCAGGGATGGTGACTCCTTTTCTCCAGGCTAAACACCCCCAGCTCCCTCAGCCATTCCTCACAGGGTTTGTGTTCCAAGTCCCTCACCAGCCTTGTTGCCTCCTCTGGACGCACTCAAACGTCTCAATGTCCTTCCCAAACTGAGGGACCCAGAACCGGACACAGCACTCAAGGTGTGCCCTCACCAGTGCCAAATACAGGGGAAGGGTGACCTCCCTGCTCCTGCTGGCCATGCTATTCCTGACACTGGCTGGCCTTCTTGGCCGCCAGTGCACACTGCTGGCTCATGCTCAATTGGATGTCAACCAGTACCCCCATGTCTTTTTCTGCCTGGGCACTGTCCAGCCACACTGTCCCCAGCCTATAGCAGTTCAGGGGGTTATTGTGGCCAAAACACAGGGCTTGGCACTTGGATTTATTAAACTTCATCCTGTTAGTCTCGGCCCCTCCATTCAACCATTCCAGGTCTCTCTGCAGAGCTCTCCTACATTCCAATGGATTGACACACACCCCCACCTTAGTGTCATCTGCAAATTTGCGAGTGAATACCTTCATCCATATCATCAATAAAGATATTAAACAGTCCCAGTACAGAGCCCTGAGGGACACCACTGGTGCCTGGCCCCAGCTGGATGCAGCACCGCTCACCAGCACTCTCAGCCAGTTCTGAGCCCAGCACTGAGTGCTCCTGTCCCAGCCATGGGCTGCAGCTTTTCCAGCAGTGCTGTGGGAGACAGTGCCCAAGGCCTTGCTGGAGTCCAGGTACACAACATCCACAGCCCTTCCTGCACCCACCAGGCATGTCACCTGGTCATAAAAAGACACCAGGCTGATCAAACATGACCTTCCCTTCCTAAACCCTTGCTGTCTGGGTCTGATACCCTGGCCATCCTGTAAGTTCTGTGTGATGACACTCAACAGAAACTGTTCCATAACCTTATCTGGAAGAGTCTGGCTAATTACCAGGATCCTCTTTCCCACCTGTTTTGTGAATGGGTGTCACACTGGCTAGCTTCCAGTCCTCTGGAACCTCACCAGTGAACATAGTCTGTTATCTTTCTACGTAATTGCCCACACACAAACATTTACATAACTTTATGCTTTTTCTCCAAGTACAGCTTCCCAGTGAAAAAGCCATTGTTTGGGTGTGTACTGATACATTTTTTGTTTCCATATTAGTGTTTCTGCCATTCAAACTACTGTCAGAATTTTTAGATTCTGCACTTGATATTTGACACTTGATAATTTGACAACAATAAAAGCAGGTTGTAAGAAGTAGAGTGATTTAATTCTTTTAGGTATTTGTTATAATGAATAAGATTTTCAAGCAATGGTAGATTTTATTGGCTGCTTATTAATTTTACAGTCTAGTAATATTTCTGTAAATGGTTTTGAAATCTGGGTTTCAGTGCAGGAATCTCTACAAGCAAGTATGCCATCTCTCCATGCTTCAAAAGCACAGGAATCTGTAGGAGGCATATCACCGGCATTTCAAAATATTTCACGTGTTAGTAGAGTACAAGGCACACCAGACACTTCTGAATTAACAAGAACTTTACCTCAGAAATACAGAAGGAGACAAATGTCAGATGAAGAGATTGAATATATTCAAGTAAGTTTTCTTCTTTAGCTTATTTCTACATCTTGTGGTATGATATTACATAGTAATTCTTTCTAAGAGTGTGCCCTGGGCTTTCATGGTTTTCATACACAATACCCTATGTACCAATTCTTAATACAGAAGTTACCCAACTCTCACTGTATAGTAGCTCGTGGTACCACTGAGTAAAGAGATTTGGACTTAGAACAGATGTGCAGGTAAGCTGCTGATAGTCACAGCCTGCATTAATTGCCACCACTGCTGGTTTTATAACAGCTGTTTAATGTGTAATTTGACTCTGCCAGGCGGGATCACAGAAGTTTGTTCTTAGACCTGGAAAGGCTATAACCAGGTGATTGAAGTCCAAAATATTTCTCAAATTGGTTTTATAAGTTATTTATTAGTAAATTAACTCTTGTATTTCTAGTAGTGGAAACTTTTTATTAAACTTAATATATTTTCTGTAATACTTACGGCATTGTACATGAAGGGCAAGAAAAAACTGCTTCTGTTCTGTAACAATTCTCAGTTGTAAAAATTGATGGTTCAAAAGGGAGAATGCACAAAATGTGAGGAATTTGTGAGATGATGGTGAGTTTGAAATTAAAAAATGCTTGCAAAACTTTGTTAAATGGTAAGGACATGTATAGTGTAACAATGTTAGTAGAGGAAATAAGTTTTCCTTCATATATGCAAGTAGGCTGTATCCATACAGTAGAAATAAAATCAGTTATTTCCCACTGTAATACACTTCTTGACTTTTTGCATAAGGTTGTTTAACAGTGAGGTAAATTGTAAAATAATTTTGTTGGGAAAATAACTGAATACCTTTCTGATTTCTCATTAAGATTGTAATGACTCTGCTTGGCTTTGGTTTTACTTAGCACTTTGGAACATACGCAGTGAAAGTTCCATTAAAACTTGTGTCTGTTAGCATTGTGTTTGTCGGACATTTTAAAGGTTAAGACTTAGGTTTCTTCACAGAAAAAGACATGGAAGCAGCTGTAACTGTAGGTAGCATGTGTTGATTTCTTTGTACTTTTCCTTGAAAAAAATGTGGCCATGATTGGTGGATGCTGGTATTTGGCATGCTGTCTGTTCTTATATAGGTAGAAAAGTAAATATTTAAATCAGAAATTAAAACTAGAACTATGTCTCTTAGCCTATCACAGTTTAAAATAGAATTTGATCTCAGTTTTAAGTGGAATATATTTAACTGAATGCTTTTCTTTCACAGCGTGGAGGTCCAGAATAAATGTAGAAGATAGTTACTTGGCCACTGTTGAAGAATGAGGTATTATATTCACAGTAAAGGCATTTCCTTAATATTAAAAATTATTGTATACTAATAGCTTTAATAAAATCCCATATGATGGGTGAGAAGATTGACACAACACACAAGATACTGATTTGTTTGTAACTGAGAAGGATTTTATGTTGATGGCTAATAGCAGTTGAATATATATTATATCTGCACCATTAAAATATTTTTCTAATTAGCCATTTGAAAAGTCAACAGAGTCATGTCATTTTTACACTGGTTGAGATCACAGAGTCACAGAATGGATCAGGTTGGAAGGAACCACAGTGGGTCATCTTTTCTGATATTTCTGCTCATATGAGTTCTTCCTCATATTCAGGTGGAACTTCCTGGGCATCAATATCTGTCCATTGCCTTTGTTCTACTGCTTGGTGCCACTAGGAAAAGCCTGGTCCATCTTGGCAATTCCCCTTCAAGTACTGATAGACGTTGATGAGGGAGGTCCCCTCTCAGTTCTGTTTCCTCAAGGCTAAACAGTCCCAGCTCTCCCTGCCCTTCCTCATAAGAGGGATGCTCCAGACCCTTAATAAAATTTGTTGCCATTTGCTGGACCTGCTCCAGGTGCTCCATGTCTGTTGTCCTGAGGAGCCCAGAACTGGACACAGCACTCCAGGTGCGGCCTCACCAGGGCTGAGAAGAGGGGCAGGATCACCTCCCTCCACCTGCTGGCAATGCCCTTCCTAGTGCCCCCCAGACACCACTGACCTTCTTGGCCCCCAGGACACGCTGCTGGCCCATGGACAGCTTGTTGTCCACCAGGACCCCCAGGTCCTTCTCCACAGCGCTGCTCCCCAGCTGCTCCACCAGGCTGTGCTGGTGCCTGGGGTTGTTTCTCCCCAGGTGCAGGACTCTGCATTTGCTTTTGCTGAATTTCAGATGGTTCTTTGTCCATCTCTCCAGCCTGTCAAGGTCCTTCTGAAGGGCACAGTACTCCAGGTTATCAGCCACTCTGCCCAGCTTTGTGTCCTCTGAATTTGCTGTGGAGGCATCTGCCCCCTCATCCAAGCCAGGGATGAATAAGTTGAACAGTACACTAGAGGGACACTACTGGGGACAGGCCTCCAGCTAGACCCTGTGCCACTGATTGTAACCCTCTGGGATCTGTTGTTCAGCCAGTTCTTGATCCACCTCACTGTCTGTTCATCCAGCCCACATCCCTGAGTTTGTCTGTGAGGACGGTGTTAAGAGACAGTGTTGAAATCCCTACTAACATCAAGTAGACAATATCCACTGCTCTCCCCTTACCCATCCACGTAGTTGATTCCTTGTAGAAGGCAATCAGGTTGATCAAATAAGATTTGCCTTTAATGAAGCCATGTGAAGTGATATTCTTGATCAACTTCTTGTCATCCACATAGATATAGATGGCCTCCAGCATGAGGCATGCCACCACTTTTCCAGGGATTGAGGTAAGACTGATTCACCTGGATATGTCACTGAGAATGATTTTACAAGCAGGAAAGAGACACTGAAGTGCTCTCAGAGATGACGACTATTCTTCATAGTTACACAGGTTTGTTAGTGTTACAGACTAATTTATTAAAAAACAGCAAAGCTTGGGCATGTAGGGGAATTAATTTTCAAGCGACAACTTCTCTCTTATGAGAAATCTCTCTGATGGCTATTGAACGGTAGTTTTAAGTATTATATTGTAGGTAATTGTACGTAATGAAGGAACCCCGGGGCCGACTCAGCCCGGGGCCGGTCCGCGGGGCTCGGCGCATGCGCCGCTGCGCGCGCCGCTGCGTGCGCCGGGCGGGGCGGACGCGGCGCGGCCGCGGGGTTAAAGCGCCGAGCCGGGCCGGTGCTGCCGCCTGCGTCCCGCCGGCATGGATGCGCGGGGCCCTGCCAGGCGCTACGAGAAGCTCGACTTCCTCGGGGAAGGGCAGGTGAGCGGCCGCGGTGGGGGCTGCAGGCGGCCCTGGGGCTGCGACAGCCCAGCTGGGCCCGGCCTGTGTTGCTGCCCGCCCGCCCGCGGCGGGACGGACCGTGAGGGGCGCCGGGCGGTGCCCGCCCCGGGCCCGAGCAGGACGCAGGAGGCGCCGGGCGGTGCCCGCCCCGAGCCCCAGGAGGGCGCGGGGGCCTCTTCTCCTACAGTCTGCCAGGCCCTTCTCACGGCAGCGTCTCTCTCTGTCCTTAGTTCGCCACTGTTTTTAAAGCCAAGGACAGGACGGACAACCGAATCGTTGCTATCAAGAAGGTAAGTGTCAGAATGGCTTCTCAGCGTGTCGCAAAGCATCTGGTTCCTTTTGACGTACCTAACAACTCCTTTTGTTGTTTTTTTTTTTTTTAACCAACTTGATGGGAAATGGCATAATACACATTTTTATTTCTATAGAAGTTTGTTTAAATGCTCTACTTAACCTGTCTGTAATGCTCACCCACCCCAGAAGAGGGAGTGGCTTTGCTGTGTTTCTGAGTTTGCGAAGGGTTGCACTTGACTTGAATTCAAGTCTGTAACTTGAATTTCTGGTTATTTGCTAGGTTTATTCAACACACACATGTTTCCAAACTGCAAACTTTACTGTACCTTGATAGCTGATTTTTTTTCCTTTTATTTGAAAGCCTTCCTGCTGCTGCGCCCAAATTCCTTCAGTCCAGAATATCACCCTTTATTAAGTTCCTTAAAATTTATGGAATCATAGAATATGCTGAGTTGGAAGGGACCCATCAACATAATCAAGTCTAGCTCTCATTCCTGTGCAGGACAATGCAAGAATCACCCCATGTGCCTGAGGCAATTGTCCAAACACCCCTTGGTGCCATGGCCACTTCCCTGGGAAGCCTGTTCCAGTGCCCAGCCCGTCTGGATGAGGAATCTTTTCCTAATATCCAGTCTAAACCTCCCCTGAATCAGCTTTATGCTGTTACCTCACATCCTGTCAGTTTTAGACAAATGTTTCCTGATTAAGCAAAGCCTTGTTCCCTGCAGCTTTGTCCACTGAGGTTGGCGTCTCATATTGATTCTCTTTCTAATAAGAAATGGCAGGCAGCATCTCTGTATTCTTTCCATGTCACCTGACTCTGCTTCCATTAGGCATACACCTGTCTTCTTTGCCTTATGTTCAAGAGGACATCCCTGTTCAGCCAGGTTGTCCTTCTGCCTCATCTGCTTGACTTGTGACATTTGGGAAACGCCTGCTCTTGTGCCCTTAGGAGGTGATGCTTAAAAAGTAGCCAGCACTGATGGACCCCAGCACCTGCAAAAACGTTTTCCCAGGGGACTTTACTTACTAATTCCCTGAGCAGCCTGACACCTGCTCTCCTCATGTCCAGGGTTGAAGTTTTGCTGGCATCTTCCTACTGTCAACAGAAATTTTTACTCAATGGCTTTGTGATTGCTGTAGCCAAGATGGCCTCAATTTCCGCTTCAGTCATGAGGTTCTCTCTGTTGACAAGCAGCCGATCAAAGAAGGCATCCTTTTAAGTCAGCTCCCTTATGACCTTTTCCACAAAGTTGTCCAGGTTTTCAGGAATTTTCTGTCCCAGGCGGTACCTGTTTTGTGATGCTTCCAGTTGCTTTCTGACAAGTTGAAGTCCCCCGTAAGAAAAAGGGCAGTTGATTTAGAAGCATCCCTTAGTTCCTCAAAGAAGAATTCATTGGCATCATTGTCCTGGCTGGGAGATCTGTACCAAACTCCCACAATGACATCCACATTATTTGTCCCTTGTTTCCTACCCAGAGGCTCTCAACTGCACCATTGCCAGCTGTAAGCTTTGTACATTCCAGCCCCTCCATTAGATATGATGTCACGCCCCACCTCTTTTGTCCTGTGTACATCTCCTGAAGAGCCTGTAGCTGCCCAACAGGGCACTCCAGTCACAGGACTCATCCCACCAGCTTTCATTTAAGTCAGTAATACCAAATCTCTGGGACTGAATCAAAGCTTTGAGCTCCTCTTGTTTATTCCTCATGCTGAGTGTATTGGTAGATGTCACGATCCGCTCATAGCGGGGTGTCGTGATGATTCATTAGCTGATCAAAAAGTGCAAAAGACAAACAGCAGGGGACTATCAGTTTAATCACAACAGATGCACCTTTATTAAGGGCCAAAACAATAACAATAAATGCGATAGTGGGGTCAGAAAAGAAATTAAAAAAAGAGAGAGAAGAGGGGATGGGAATAGCTACCAACACAGACGAGGTCCTCAGTGGTCTGGACGATGGGGATCCGTCTTGTTGTGTTGGGGAGAGTCTCCAAAGTCCTGCCCAACCCAGGGGTCCAGTTATAGTCCCCTGAGGGAAAAAGGGGGGAACATGCCTATTGAAATTGCTCATCCAGGCAGAACAAACACAATGAAGAATAAGTCCATTGAAGTTACTGGAGAAGAACAGGTCATGTCATTTCCTCCCACCACCACTCTCTGTGGTTGGGGTCTCAGTCTCAGTCCTTGGGGAGAGGGTTCTTGATCTCCATCTGTCACGGTGGTAACGAGGCAGATGAGGGGTCTTCAGTGAGAGACCACCAGGGTCACCCCAACAGTTCATTCGGCTTAAAGGTGGAGAGTGAAGCAGGAATTGCAGCAGGCCGCTCTGTGCTGGGTCCACGCTGGGTCTTCGCCAAGTCCTTCCCAAGTTCTTGCCGGGCCTCGTTCAGAACAGAACGTAACAGTACAGCGGCTGCACCTGCACTGTTGCCTTCTCCAAGCCAGAAGGAACTGCAGTGGGGGAAGGGAGTTCCTTCTCGTGGCAATCGGCAGGCAAATGAGTGAGGGTCTTCAGATGGCCTCTTACATTCCAGGTGTTGTACTTTGTAGCCAACACCTCATGAAGCAGATTGAGTTAGCCCATTAGTGTTCATTTCTTCAAGTTTTGACACACCATCCCACTGATTATCACTGTCGAGCCAGGTATTTTCCTTTTCTCCCTTCTTAAAGCCCATTTAAAGCTCTGCCAATGAGCCATGCTAGCTGCTGTGACAGAGCTCTTTTTCCACTCTGAGAAAGGTGCAACCCATCAGGTGTTGGTAGAATAGGTGCTGAACAGATCATCCCATGGCCATGAACCTCAGTTTTTCTTGTGACACCAACCTCAGAGCCACATTTCAATCTGACAGATCTACCTATTCCTATCAGTATTAGTTCTTGATACCAGAAGGAGGGAGGAAATCACTGCCTATGCTCCATATACTTCTATCAATTTTCCTGGGGCACTCAAATCTCTTTTGAGTGCCCTCAGTTTTTTATTTGTTACTGTGTTGCTGCCAGCTTGGCCAAACAATAATAAATAGTACTCAGAGGGTCTTACTAGACTTATTTTATCGTTTTTTTGATAAAATATGACAAAAGTGATATTGAATCTTCAACGTGCTTGCATACAAATTATGAAAATGCTTATATTGTCATAAAGCATTTCACTTGTTACTATCTGAAGGGATTGGAGAAAGAAGTTTTTGTATTAAAAATGGATCTTCAGCTGTTCTTTGTAAGGGGTGAAAGATGCATGTTACAATGGTTTACTTAATATTGACATGATTGAACTTGGTGACTCTTCAAGTAAAGAATCTTGTTTTATGCAGTAATAAATTTTAGCATTGCAATACTTGTCTTGTATGGTTGCTACTGGTAGAGCCTGTGGTGAAGAGTGTTCTTTGTTTTATCAGAATATTTTTTTAACTTTTGTTATCTGAAAATATCAATGGTAGCATTCTGGACTTGAATTTCAGGGCATTTGATGATTAAGACAAGAAGACCTAGAATCTGCCCAAGTTTATAGCCTATGCTAATTTTATTAGAATAATTCTAAGATAACTGTCAATTATTTAGCTCTCATTTCTCCCTGAGGAGAAGCTCATTAATGATGTAATAAAGCTTTGTGGCAACAAAGCAGTTTAAACTGTCAATTTGCATTATGTCTGTTTTTAGTGCCATCATAGCTATTTTTTGTAAAATCTAATGTGCAGAGACAGTTACTTTTTTAAGGGGGAAATAAACCCTAACTGAAACCAACTCAGCTGGTAAAGTGCTTCGTTATTCTAAAACTCATTCTGTCTTAGAGGAGCAATACTAAAAAATTTATTCCCCACCATCTTAATCTTACTTAACATGAAATATTTATTTTCAGATTAAACTGGGTCATAGATCAGAAGCTAAAGATGGTGAGTTTTAAAACAAATTCATACTGTAGAAGCTGAACTTTGTTTGCTTTGTTTAAGTAAATTAATACATTAATTTCCCAAACCATTAGCTCAGAAAATGGAGCCCAATGCCTGCTGTAAGCCTGAGTAGAGGTTTGCTTCACAAACTGCAGGGACAACCAAAAGCAGCATAGATACCTGCATGCAATGATATATGTCTAAATATGAGTATATAACTTCTCAATTTTAATGGAATTCAAACACGAATATAGCATAATAATAGTAATAATAACAACAACAGCACTGAGTTTAGAATACTTTTTTGTATCAATACATCTCTATGCCTTAAGTACTTAAAATGACTGAGCGTATTTGCATGTTTACAGATGTTTCCTTTGTTCTATTTTTGTGATGTGTGCAGAGGCAAAAGTGGATAACAGCAAGATCAAAACTTTTGTCTCTGTGTCTTTTTTTTTCATGTTCAGCACTATAGAACATGTGCTCTGATCAGCCCTGTGCCTTTAGGTGTGGATATGGCAAATTGAAACCAAGTAATCTTGGTCTTATCACCTGTGTGGTGCAGGAGAATTTTATTTGTGTGCAGGCTGCTGTCCTTCAGAACTCCTTCATCAGGTTACCAGCTTTCCAGTGAAGAGTTTTTGCTATCAACTCTCTAGTTCTTTTCTTTTAAAGAGAAACTGATCACTCATGCCAGAGTCTCACAATTGAGCCAGCTGCCTGAGAGTTATGATCTACATGGCCTTCAGTGGCCTGAAATGGCCCTTAGGGACAGTCATTACTTTTGGCCTCTACAGTATCTAGCTGTAGATGAAAGATGTTATTAAAAATAGTTATCAGATCTGCTTTCCCTGTGTTATATGATAATATGGCATGCTTTTGTTTTAATTTAAGACAGTGCCTACCCAAAAGCAGCCGTTGTTAATTTGATTCCAAAATGGGTAATTAAAACAGGCAAAGCAGGAATGTAAAGTAATCCATGTATCTTAGCCCAAAACTTTTCTAGTCTTAGCATTGAATCATATGCCAGGTTTTAGGAGAACACTGTTTTTCAGTTAATATGCATCTGCAGCTTCCTGCATGGTACAACACAGGAGCATTTGCTTGCCAGTTTTCATACAAGCCACACATACTAGCATTTCTGAAGGACGAATTAGTACCCTGCAGGAATCATGGTTTGATACAGTGCCATCAGTGTGACTGCTGAAGGGCACCATTTGCTCCCTGTTGGCCCCTGGTTTTTCCTCTATAAAATCTGCTTATGAGAAGATTCAAGCAAGAGTAAGCAGGTTTTGGTTACTCTCTGTTTTATGCTTTCTATATATTACAGCATGAATGTAGAAAAACATGTTCCTTGCATTATTAGAGAACAGCATGTCAGAAAGAAAAGAGATATATTAACGAGGTTTGAAGTCAGACTTGTTGAGGGACTGATGTTTGCAGAATGAAATTTTTCTTTAAAATGAAGCAAGCCTTCCAATATCCTGAAAAAGGTTGATTTCTTTTTTCCTATGACTTTCCCTTTTTGCCAAAATGTGGACGTGTTGCTTCATAATCTAAGCCTGATTAGTATGGTGTGAAATGGAATTGCTGTGGAAGAAAGTGTATGCCCACTTTTATTTTACAGCAGTTTAGTTAGTTATGGCAAAGTCCTTGTTATTTAGCTAATTGACAAGTGTTAAGAATGTAATATTACTAGTAAATAGTCTGTGAGTAGCAGAATGACAGGTTTACTTGGCGCTTAATCCAAAATTTTTATTTTGTTCTTTCATCTTCATTTCTTCTTTCCATCAATGTAGGAATCAACAGGACTGCCCTCAGGGAAATAAAACTGTTACAGGAGCTAAGCCATCCAAATATTATTGGTGTAAGTAAAATAAATGCTAGTTCTAGAATCAATCTTCAAATACTTTCTGTAATTCAACAATTATTATGGCAGTGTGCCTATTGCAATAACAGAGGCAAAGGGTTTTTTTTTTTTTTTTTAATAATTTTAGTTTTTTGCCTGGGCCTACATAGATTATAATGGTGGAAGAATTGTGAAAATGTGGATTGCTTTATTTTGCATCTCTGATAGAATTGCTAATGAACACAGTGCTGAATTTACCTGATTGATTGCTTCATCTAGAACTGGTGACAGTCAAAAAGCAGTCTTTTTAAAGCAGTGGTAAAGGGGAAGTCACGTGCCTTATTAGTCAAGTATAAAATAGCAGACTTATTTTAGCACACAGATATGATGTTTAAAATCTCTCTTGGAAGGAGCAAGACTGGAATCTTTTTTGTTTCAGTTGCAGTTTGGTAGACTTACACCTACAGATACCCAGCTGGAGCTAAAGACATTTTAAAGTTAGATCATAGTAATCATTAGAAAGTGTCAATATGATTAAGTACATGAAGTATGAATTTTCCACATACTTGGAAAGTGGAAATATGGTTCTCTTCTGGATTGTGACCCTACTTTCAAAGTGGTTGCTTTAGCTATCAGTTAGAGAATATGCAGGCAGTGACAACTAAAATGGCAAAGGGACGGAGCATATTCTTCATGAAAAAATGAGGAATTCATCACTTTGGAGAGGGAAAGGCTGGTAATGGGGAGGTCTACAAAACCAAGGTGATAGGTGGTGTCCATGCAGAAATTCTATTTGCAAATACCATTGTCCTAGAAATAAGAGATGTATTGAAAACCTATTGGCAGCAGGAGTGGAGTTGTACTGCTTCACTCAATGTGTAATGAATTCATAGGATGTGTTGCCATGGGCCATATAGAAGCAAACTGCATCAACAGTTCAAAGAAGAATTAGACAAATTTATGATCAGGAATTCCATAAGCAGGTTCTAAAAATAAGATACAGTGTTGTGCCCCTCTTAGTAGTCCTTACAAAACTTTTGTGTGTTTTGTGAATGTAAGGGGCAGAGTTACTGCTGTTATGGATTATTCTGACAAATACCTTGCAGTTTGCCAATTCGTGTAGTCATCATACTGAGACTGAGGAGTGAGCTGCACCAGCTGCACACATACCTTCCTCATCTTGAAGGAAGAATACCAGGCTAGATGATCTCTTGCTTTTGTTCAATATCACGCTTGTTTTATCTCAAATTAGAAATTGTGTCATTACACAGCTTCATCCAAAGAAAGGGCTGTTTGGATGTCCTCAAAAGAGTTCTATTTATCTTGGAAAGCTAGCAACAAAAATGAATGTGCATCTAAAAATGTCTGAAACTAATAAGCCTAACACTTAAAATTTCTAAATACTGTATGCTTACAGGAAGCAGATACACAGAGCTGAATCCATGGGCAAACTTAGTCTTGTCTGAATAAAGAGTAGTTAGAACAGGAAAGTTTTGAGGACAAGGTGTGCATTACACTATTTGTTGTAGTTAACATGATAAAGTTAATTGTTCCTCTTTTTTCCTATCTCCAGGAAGGAAAGGCAATCATGTGAAATGTTACTTCCATTTTAATGGGGATTTTTTTTTTTTTCTGGTTTGGAAACTGAATTAAGAGGCTAAACTGAGTAAGAATTTTTGTGTTACAAGTCAAAGAACTTAAACCAATTCTCAATAAGCTGAAAATCCATGTGTAGACTACAATGCTGTTGAATTTCAGAAAACTGGAAGAATCAGAGCGTGATTAATCATAATGTATTTTGTTTTGCAGCTTATTGATGCATTTGGACACAAGTCAAATATTAGTCTGGTGTTTGATTTTATGGAAACAGATTTAGAGGTAAGATTTTTAAAGACTATTTTTATTTCATACTGAATGTGCTGCTTTTAATAGGCTTATATTTGCCCATATTAGAAAGGTGACTTTTATTATGTCAGTTGATGAAGATCATGACTTAAAAGTAGTTTGAGTAATTTCAGTTTTTATGAGTTCTCATTTGATTAATTTCTTTACTTCTAAATACTTGTCAGCATGATCTTAAAAGAACAAATTGTGTTTACTATGTTAGTTTTCTGGAACTCCAGTCTGAGTGTAGAACCTCTGGCACAGATCATTGCTTCTGGAATGCAGTTGATAAGCATAATACCAAACATGTTCACGTAAGTGTGACACTAAAATATAGTAAGAGATGAGCTGTTAGAAAAATCACATGCTCTTTAAACATGTTTTCAAATGTAGCAATGCTAGGTAATTGCAAATCAGTACCTTCCAGAGACAGTCTTGCTGAAATTTAGGTGAATGAAAGACTTGAAAAGGTTAGGTCAGATTTTTGCTAATAGAGGTTAGTAATGAGTAGACTTTTAGAGGATTCATTCTGTTTACATAGTAGTTATGCAAAGTTTAGAGATGAAGAAGATTAGTGTACGAATCAAAATTAAATACTCTTGTACTGCAGGTTGCTATGGTGTGCAGTCTTTAAAGTGCATTGTGGTATCACTCAGGCTGCCACTGAAACTGCTGCCTGTTGTGATTAAGCATATGCTGCATACATTAAATTTGTGCAGTCTTAGCTCTTCTGTAGGAAGCCTATTACTGAGCAGGACAGTAGTATTAACAAACAAGCTTTGGGGTCTTTGCATAGAATTTTAATGTTAAAAATTAAAGAATGTAGAAAACTTAGGTAGATTTTTTAAAATACAGTCAAGTGGCCATACCTTCTGGTATTTTTGGAAATAGAAGAGGAAACCATTGTATTTATAAAAATTAGTTACTTAGGTTGCAAAGAGAAAGAAGGAATAAGTGAAAACGTAATTTGTAGTTTACTGTCGCATTTATCATTTGTATGTGTGCATCTTTGTCCTGGAAGTTTTGGTATCAACATGGAACTGAGATTAAATGCTAAACTTCTGTTTCCCACACATTTTTTCATTGTCAGGTTATGCAAAGTTCACGTAAGCTATCTGGACTCCCCATTTCAATTTCTGATCTACAGAATTGACCTATTTTTCTGGAAAAAGGGTGAAATGGTAGAGAATATTTGACTGCCAATCTGAAGCCTGTCTTAAAGGTGGAAATAACTTTTGAGCTGAAAAAATAAAGATAAGGTTGTCTTGTGTGCTGAGCTTTACCACAACTTCATTACTTTGCAGGTTATTATAAAGGATACAAGTATTGTGTTGACGCAGTCTCACATCAAGGCATATATGCTGATGACACTTCAAGGATTAGAATATTTACATCAGCATTGGATTCTACACAGGGTAAGCATGTACTAAATTGACAGCCTTCATCCTGCTATAAAAATCACATTGGGTAGATTTAGAGTTTAAAGCCTAATGAAGATATTCAGGTATTTGAAGGTATGAATGAAGGTATTTGGTATAATGAAGGTATTTGGAATTCAGACAGTCTCATTCCATAAGCATTCATATTTGCTGTTTTGGAGAGATAATAGCAGTACCAGAAATGTTAAGATTTACTGATGTGGTTATGACTTTGACACTTACATAAAAGTTTTTCCAGTTAGATGTGACTTTAATTATCACTGTGAATTGGGTCTGCCTGGGATGGATTGGACTTTTTTTCGCAGCAGCTGAACTCTTGAAGCTTTCTCCTTTCTATCGGTATCAAGGCTTTCTCTTTTTCTCATTCTGCTCTTGCCCTGATAAGTAGGCTTGGGGCAAGAAGTAAGGATGAGGCACAGCTGGGGCAGCTGACCCAAGCTGTCCATAAGGATACTGTATGGCATGTAACGCCTTGGTCAGTGGTAAAAACTGGGGTAGAGACAAAAGGGGGAATTTTGTTTTCCAAGCTGGCAGCTGTTTGGAAACTGTTTATCACTCTCCTTTTGGGGAGTGGTGAAGGATTTCCATGACCTTGCTTATTGGCTTTGATTTTTACTACTTTCCTGTTAAAGTGCCTTATACTGCTCCTAGAGTTTTCCTGCTTCTGGTCTTCTCTCCCCTGTACTGCTGAAGGTGGTGGGTTGGATGAGAATAGAAAGAGCAAATGGCTGTGTGGATACTTTTGGGTTGGGTACTGTTGGGTACTTATATGGCTGTATACTGCTGCTGTATTGAACTGTGTGAATTCCACGATTTCTGACATTATTTGAAGCATTGACCAGGTCTTTTTATTATTCAGTTAGCAGCTATGCAGATAACATAACTGCTGTACCTGCAGAAAATGTAAAACTTATCAAGAGGTTTTTTTAAACTCTGCAAGTTAAATATGTTAATATTCAAATGGGTCTGCCTCACTATGGTTTTCATATATGATAAAATACTTATTTCCTGGGGGGGTTTAAATTTTTTCACTCACAATGTAGGTTTTAGGCTAGAATCAAGTCTTTCATTTTACAACATGTTATTGCCAGGAGATTCATTATATGTCTGTTTTTATCTGATCTATGGCAAATTTCATTATTTGTTTTCTATACTGACAGGATCTTAAACCAAATAACTTGTTGCTAGATGGAAATGGAGTTTTAAAATTGGCTGACTTTGGCTTGGCAAAATCTTTTGGAAGCCCAAACAGAGTTTATACACACCAGGTAGTAACAAGGTAAGACACTCTTAGTTTGTTTCTTACACAGAGATTGTTTGGTTGCTTTATCGGTCTTTCTTGAAATATGTCATGTCAAATCAACATATTCAGAGTGGCATCTGCTCATGTGATGCAGCAAGAGCTGCATCAAAAACCAGAAGGAATCATTGTTTAACAAAGTCTCTGTAAGAACCGCTTGAGTATGCATCTGTGGGAGTGATTCTCATATCTGTCAAAATTATACTTTCTTGGAATGTCTGGAAATAGTATGTATCTGCTTAGAAACCTGGATTTTGGAGCAAGACAGCTGCTACTTTCTGCTAATCACAAGAACCTAGAACCATTTTTTGAGCTATTCATATTACCTATTTTGAGATGAACACTTGAACCAACTGAAATATTTATAAATGGTTTTTATGGCTTCTTCTTTAAGGTATGCTATAAAAAGTGGGGCTGCAAAGTATGCAACATTTTGCTTTCTGACTCCTGGGATGCTAAAACTATTCAGGCAAAGTTGGTTTAACACCTTTATTCAAAAGGCAGAAATTCTAAAGTGTCAAATGCAGTGTCTTTTCATTAAACTTGATTGTTCTTAGGCAGTGTGAGTAGTTTTTTTTCAAAACAACAAGACTCATTTTACATAAAAGTAGTCTCTATACTTAGGTCTATTGATAGGGAGATTCTTGGGAGATGGGAGGAATTCTGTCTTGCTGTGATTCCTTCAACATAAAATTTTAAGAAAATTTCAGTTTACTTGCATGTTAATAACTGTTTTTCTTGCATGTCTGCAGTTCAATACTTGTAATCAGGTCAGTTGAAACTGCAGTTAATCTGTGGTTGTACATGACCCTATAGTGAGGTGTGCACAGATTTGTTCATTCTTTCTTAAAACACTTTGCAGAATACAGCTCTTCAATGTCTGAAAAGTATATAGGTAGAAATAATATCCTTTTTTTAGCTTTTGCATTGCTACAACATGTAGCATTTGACATGAGCAAAGCAGGTGAATCTTCCAAAATACTTTTTCTTTTCAGGTGGTACCGAGCCCCAGAACTATTGTTTGGGGCTAGAATGTATGGTGTTGGCGTTGATATGTGGGCTGTTGGTTGTATTTTAGCCGAATTGCTCCTCAGAGTAAGTAATCAAATGTAAGCATTTTGTATTTGCCCTTCCTTCCACTACAGATTTTTATGGGTTTTTTCTTTCCTGCTAAAAGCAAAGTGAACGCAGGCCAGAAGAAACTTTTCAAAATCTTGTTAACTGTAATGAAAGTGGTTTTTTTGGAATAGACTGAGGCTTCATAAACATTGCAAACACTGGAAGTCTGTAAACATCTGTGTTAAAAAGTTGCAACAAACTGTCACAGTCTTGTCTTGGGAGAGGTCAAGTCTGTAACTCCTGCAGTCCACAGACACCTGTTTTAGTTCACTACTGTTCTAGAAATGTAACTTCACATTTATGTGCATGGGCTGTCCCTTATATACTGTTCCTCAGTTATAATCACCAGTACCTTAATTGTGGTTTTATTCAAAATTTATTAAAGACTAATGTTTTTGTTAAACTGTGGTTAGTTTACAATACTGTAATGAAGCCAAAAGTTAACATCAAGATAATCCTATGGCACTCCTCAGTGTGGTACACAAATGTAATGGTCCTTGAGTATTTTCCACTGAAGTAGAATGTTTATCATATCTGCTCTTTGGAGAAGACATTAAAGTGTGAGGGGAGCAGTGGAGGGCTGGGGTACAGACACAGCTGAATGCATGAAGTAGTCTGCAGTATAATTTATTTTCTATGCCTAAGTATCTTCTGCTTGGTTTCTGTACCTTTGAATGCTTTTGTGGACATATCGTAACCAGACTTCTGTGTGAAAACACCTTGAAAGAAACCTTTTGCTTTGATTGGTCACACCAAATAGGTGTGCTGGTTCAATTTGATTGGCAGGTCTGATACAGAAATCTACAATGGCTCTTTAAGCAGCACTGGTGATGGATACATAAATACGCGTTTGACCTGCTAAAGCTGAATACATTTAAGCAAAGTTAGTAAGAGAATAATTCTTGAATTCAGTTGATTTTTTGGTTTGTCACAAAACAAAGTGTATTATGGTTCAGCTTTTATCACTGTGATATTTTGAAATGTATGTGTCCTTTTTCAGGACAGTGCAAATTCTGGGAGCTTTTTATGAAAACAGTATTCAAGGGGCTTTCATGACACCACAGTTTAGTATGCTGTATACTAGGGATGATGGTTTTTCTATCCTAATTAATTAAACAGTGTCTCTAATTCTTCATAAATTTGCTTTGGTCTCCAAGTTTCTTTTTCCTTACATTGTGTGCTTGATATGTGAGCTAGAAGTTGGACTGGGCAGATAACCCCTTTTCAGTCTTTTGCTTTATTTAAATGAAATGTGACACTGATCAGACAGTTTTCTATTCTAGAGGGTCTCTACTCTCCCTCGTGCTTTAATTTAATTTCATAAGGCTAACTTGTGTAATCCAGTTATGATTCACTTTAAATTTATATAAAAGCTACCTCCAAAGAACATGTAAAGATTACCATGACCAGCTGACTTTAGGCTTAACAACTGAGAAATAAAGTATTTTCTGTGTTTAGTAAATTTTACATTGATGTGGTTGTGATTAAACATAAGTTTATGTTTAAGCTAGCTGCTATCAAGTCAGTAATACCAGGCCTGGGTTTAGGAAACTTTCAGAATCTATTTGAGCATAAATAGAATGCCTCAAATATCCAAATGTACCTCTTTGTGGGGAGTTGGTATACAGAGGCTTTTGCCTTGCAATTTATGCAATGTCACTCAAAGCTTCTTTCTAAAGTTGAAGTTCAGAAGTTAATTCAGTCAAATGCCATGTCCTTCTTCAAGGTTCCTTTTTTGCCTGGAGACTCTGATCTTGACCAGCTGACAAGGATTTTTGAAACACTCGGCACTCCAACAGAAGAACAATGGCCTGTGAGTCATTTTGTTTAACAGACTGATATTGGTTTTACTTGATACTCTCTATTTTAGCTCTTGTAACTAAATGATTATACCAGAATATTTGAGTAGGTTTTTGAGAAGTCAGTTGCTTCATCTCATGAATGGTGAGATTTGTTTTTTCTCTTGCTAAACCTCTGGTCAATAGTAACACTATCAACACTTCTTGATTTCCTTTCTGTGTGCACAGTTTCACATGGCTACTGGTGTAAGAGTATTGTTGCTGCTTAATGTTTTTGGGGTGCTTGTTCAGTTAGCATGCTTTAACCTGGAAGGCTTTAATCACTTTCAGAAGTAGGAACCATTTGTAGGGACCTGAGTTGGCCTTGGTAAATTATAGTTTGGGGATAGTAAAAAACACAGACCAGCAGCTTTAAGGATAAACAATTTGCCTCAACAATGATCCTGAAACAAATACAATTAGTAGTACAATTTTTTTCTGAGATGACAGCAAATTAAGTAACACCAGTCCAAACTTACTGTCAGGTCACACAATGACTTACCTAACCATGGTTATTAAACAGAGTGACAGGAAGCAGATAAAATGTCTGATGAGCTACTTGTACCAGACACAGAGAGTCCAGAATTCCCTGATCAGGATGTTGCCTTTTGTTGTTGAGTTGTTGAAGCACTCACTGGACTTGTTCACCTCTGCTCCCTCTCTGTGCAGCTTTTCTTTATTGTAAATGGTGGTGGAATCCCATATTATGTGATCATGAAATGGAACTCTACCCAATAGAGGACTGCTGTGTGAGGCACTGCTAGACTCCCATAGTTCTGATATTTCTCCAGGGTTCTAAATGGAATGCATGAAGGTTTTTGCAATGACATTTCGGCTTCCTTTGAAGAGGAAAATTTAAGATACAAGTGGCGAAAAGAGAGAATAGGAGATTGGTTAACACAAAAAAGACTATGCATTCCCAAGTTCATCTCCAAAGACATAGATTTTAATAATTGAAACCTTTACTATCAAGATTCTAGCTGATTGAACACATTTTTGACTTTGTGTTAATATTTTATTTTACTTGGACAAACTTGAAGTGTGACAGCTAAGGCTTTATATGCTTAAAACACTACAAAAGCATTATGTTTATGTAATTGTCTGTTACAATTGTCTGTAATTTTTATGCTAGAATGTGAACACACTGGGATTGATTTCATACCTAGAGGACAAAAAAGTATGCAGTTAATTTTTTGTTTAACTACTTGGTGCATGTTTTCCTTCCTGCCTCCCATTGCCCATATAAAGGTTCAGTTGCGCATTTAAAATCAAAATGCACATGATGTTCAGCTAACTTCTATTAATGTAGAGAAAGTGAAGACTGACTCTTTTGTAAATATATTCCCTCTCACCATGTCAGTTCACTAAAGGAGGTTTTATTTAATTTGTCTGATCCAGTCTAAATTCTTTCATACTTCCTTTAGCAGTTTTTCCTTTTGGACTGGTCACAACTAAAGCAAGGGAAGGACAAATCATTTGGAAAGTTGTTTCACACTGCAACAGTTATTAAAAAAAAGATTTTATGGCCTACTATTCTATATTTACTTTCAGTGACCAAGTCTTAGCAATGTGTTTTGGAAGATGAGCTGCTTCTAGTGGAAGAGCCGCATGAAGTTCTCTCTCTGTGAAAAGCTGAACTCTTACTAGGGGAAAAACATTCCATTTTTGGTCTTTGTAGGGCATGACAAGTCTTCCAGATTATGTCACATTTAAGCCATTCCCTGGAATGCCACTTCAACATATCTTCAGTGCAGCTGGTGATGATCTGCTCGGTCTTCTTCAAGGCTTATTCACGTTTAATCCTTCCACTAGAGTAACAGCTACTCAGGTATAGTACACTTGGGTTATCTCCTCATGTTCATGATGCCATTGTTAATATCAAATAAATGGGGTTTGAAGCCAGTTAGCCAGGTTTGAAATGAAACATCACATGAATTACTAGAAACATAATCCCAGTGTTTTATAGGGAGAACTGTGAAAGGTATGGATAATACTAAGTGATCATCTCCATTTCCAGTGTAGAGTCAAGGTAGAGAGCTAAAATGTGTATGAGCCATGACCTTCCAACAGTCATATTTGACATGCTGAATTCAGTCACTTAAAACTTGAAGGTTAATTAATTCTGTGGTGATTAAACCATCATTCTTATCTAATTATGCTTTTCCATGATACTTTCAATTTTACTACTCCCTGATGGGGAGAAATGGAGGACTTGGAAGAAAAATCTTGCAGAATGTTACAGTTTGCAGTACTGATTTCCGTGATGAGGAGGATACACCAGTTGGCAGCTAGAAGTGTATTTCTGTCACTTTACAGTGATAGGGAAGCATGCAAAAAACTGCTGTCCCCTTTGGGCCAGGACTCCCTCACTGCTGGTTAGGTTTGAATCCATGTATCTTTTGTATCTTTTTACTAGAAGACTTTTTCAGAGCACACTCAGGCTGTTTTAGCCACCATCTTTAAGAACATTCACTGTAAGTTTCCAGATAATTAGTTCTGCTATGCTTGGGCCATCTCTGTGGTAGTTCATATGTATGAAGTCATTTTTCAGGTCATATTATAGGATAGTGACTTCAATATATATTACTTTTCTAATCTAAACTTTTTATTGACAGTGCCACAGTTTAAGACAGGAAAAAACTTGTGCTTACTGTATTGATTTGATTGGTTTGATTTATAGCTGACATTGAATATCATGTAACTGGCACAAGAAATGATTACCTTAAAGTTAACCACACTTCATGGTTCCAAAAATTTAAAGTAAGGTGTATAATTCCACTACATGAAACCAATCTTGCTGACTAGTGTTTGTGTTCTGCTCTAATACGAGTGCTCTAATGCTTTCTCACAGTTTACAGGGTAGAAACAGTGCAGTTAAAGAAACATGGGGGAAAGACTCGTCTTAAAAACTAACAAAACAGACAGTGTCCAGATTGTGAATCTGATCAAGACTTCAAAAATATTCCTTTAATTTTTCTTTATTCCTACTTTCTTTTTTATCCTCATCTCATCTGATCTGTCTATTCAGAATGTAAGCTCTTCAGAGCTAGAAGCCACTTATACAAGACTTTTTACAAAATAATCTAGTTTCTACTCAGGGTGTCTGAATACTGGTTAAAAATAGGAGTATATAACTATCCCTTGCTTTACCCTATCCCCTTCGCATGTGGGGTGGATAGTAATTGTGAAGACAATCTTTATTTGCCCCGAGGCCACTCTGTAATATAACAGTGTTCAGGTAGTTTTTAAGTCCCAATTAAAAGCACTTGGTTTCACTATGACTTCTTTATAAATTATACTTCATACTAATTACTTGTTTCTTTTTCTTCGTATTTTGTTAAGGCATTGAAACAGAAGTATTTCAGTAATCGACCAGGACCCACTCCAGGAAATCAGCTGCCAAGACCCAACTGTCCTGCCGAAGCTGCAAAGGAGCCACAAAATGCACTTTTAAATTTAAAAAGAAAAAACACAGAAGGAATAGGTCAAGGTAACTAACTTCATGATACGTCACTAGTTTTAAATAGGAGTTACATGATTAGAGAGAATGGGATGCTTCTAGTGTTTTAGGAGAAAATCTCTCTAAATGAGCTAATTCCCTGAGCACTGGCTGAAGCCCTTTAATGATGTATAGTTTGGGGTCAGACTTACTTAGCCCTGTGTTCTAACAGAATTAGCACAAAAAAGGCTTTTCAGTGATGCTTAGGAGTCTATTAGAAGAAATAACCCTATTCCATTAATTCTGTAATGGAGAGTGGTACTGCCCAGTAAATTATAGGCTATTACAATTAACCTTTTTTTTTCTGAGGTATCTTACTCAGGTGGAAGTAATTTAACTTCACACCATTTAAAAAAAGAGAGAGTCTAAAACATAGCATGACATTCTGTGAAATGACAGGCTGGAGAGGGAGGATCAGATTCAGAGGAGGTAGTTTTGCTCACTCTGTCTTAAGGTAAGGAAGTTACCTTTTAAGACCACTCTGGGTCAGGAACATCAAGCACACTTCTGTGACTCACCCCCAGTCTTCCCCTGACAGTAGCATGTATTTCATATATCTTTGTGGCAACACAAGTGCTCAGGACTCAAGACCTGTATCTGACACTAAATTACTCAGGCCTTCTATTAGAGAGGCAAATACTATTTTTAAACTTGTAGTTAGTCTTCTTAACATCTGGAATATGCTAGATAGCAGCTGTCAGGTTAGCATCAGCTCTTTGTTATTGCCAGTATGAGATTCAGTCTTAATGAGTGATTTTTTTTTTTTCAGTGGAGCTACTTCCATAGAAGTGTATTTCCTCTTTGAGTTGCTCTCTTTTTGAGACCTTTGAATATTGGTATAAAAAGCAATATAATTTCTACCAGCTGGAAATGGAGGCATGATGTATTTTCTACTGTGGATTTTATGTAATGTTCTGTTACTGCCTTAGCTGGGCTGACAGATCCAGAAGGTTTCAAATGTAGTTCCTCTAGCACCAACAAATGTTAAAGGAGAGAACCAGTGATAGAGCTAGGAAATCTGCTGCGTTGGATTTCATTTGCTCTTCTTACATGGCATTACCATCTAAATTTAAAATCTGAACAGTGATTTGGAAGAATAATCCTCTAGTCTTGGTTTAAATAAAAATTTGAAGACCAACATTGTTGTAGGGGGTCGAAATGTGCAAATGTAATTTCCAAGAAAAGTAAGTTGCATTCCCTGAAATTCTTAGAATGACCTTACATCCTGCAGAGCATATTTCTTTTCCCTCAGTCCTGTTGAGGTAGCACTCTGGAACCTGGCAGAATAAACTGAGTGCTTCAAAAATATTGGCACCAGGAGCTGACTGCTGGAATAAAGATGCATGCCATTGCTGTATGTGCTGCTTTTCCACAAGAACAAACCCCTGTAGCCTGTGGGGTGTGTTCACCAAATCTTAATACTTCTCAGAAAAACCCCTCTATTCTCGGGGGAAAACTACCACTAGAGGGATGAGACATGCATGCTTTGTGTCTACTGCTATCACTTACTTCTGATCAGTGAGGTTTTTGGAGACACTGATTCTGTGATGACATAAATGCCCATCTCATCTCTGTCACTTAACAAGTGACACTGCTTCCCCAGAACACCTATTTCTAGTCCTATTAATATGCATTTCTACAGAGCTGTAGCTACACAAAACAGGGATTATAACGCATGGTGCACTAAAGTTTTTCCTATGTTAATTAAGCATAAGGAATCTGATATCAAAACTATTGGTTTGGAAAAAAACCCAAAGACATTCTATTAATATTTAAGGTTAAGAATTTGTCCTAGATTTAACAGCACATAAGAAACAGCACATGTGTGTGTGTGTTGGGAAAGGTTTAAGCCTTAGAACAGCTTGCTTTTCTTGGGTTTCAAAGTAGAATTAAGTGGTTAGCTTTGCATATCAACAGTTAGGCTTTTATATGAACAAAGAGAAATATTTACATGTATGGGAAATGCAATTAAAAAAAAAATAAATGCAAATAAAAAAAAAAATTAATTACAGAATTTATGACTTTTGGAATATACATACTGATTCTGATTTATTAAAAAAAAATGGATATTGATCTAGTATGAATATTAAACTGTGATGGACAAAAACTCTCTAACAGTTTAAAGTTAGCAAGTGTGTGTTTATTCGACGCCGGGCAGCTTGCGGGATCGCTCCCAAATACACACCACGCCTTCCAAGTGATTACAGAGCCCTTTTATCCATACAAGTATTGAATACCCAAAATACAAATACATATTCATAATTTTGGTACATCCCATTCCTCGCTTTGTATGCTAATCACTTCAAAAGCTATTAAGCATGCGTAGTTTGTTCCTTAAAATGGGTCGATGGTCCCTTTCATGGGGAGGGGTCCCAAAATGAGGAAGTAAATGAAGTCTTCCTCGTTCTGACCTTTCTACCTTTTCAGTGCAAATATGACAAATGAACTCTTGGTAGAACTCCCATTCCTTGTCTTCAATTGGTTTCAGAACAGAGGAGACCCACAATTGTTTTATGTTCCTAAAAGCTATTTGTCAGTTTCTGTATTCTTCATTATAAACCCAGCTAACTAAACATTGTGTTGACAAGCAATCAATTATTAGTTAATTACTAACTCTTAACTTCATCAAGGCCTACTCATTTATTTTAATTAACTCTAGTAAGGCTTATCTCTAACTAAAATCTTAGCTCTTCTAAAAATCTCTAAATTCCTTAAAATTTATGTTTCAATTCAAGTGAACTTTGATTGTAGCACTTTCTTACAGATCTGTTAAAAAAGGTCATCATGTACTGCCACTGTTCCAAATAGCATTCAGCAGTTAAGAGTAGGAGGGGACTTTGAGGAGGGGAGGGACTGGACCTCTATACTTTGCTAACAATGTGATTTACATTTTTCAGGATTACCAAAAAAACTGATCTTTTGATTGCTGTGGATGATGAATGAAAATGAGTGAAAATGCCCTGAGTCCCAGCCATTGATAAAACGCTGTAATCATTGCTGGATGGTTATTTTTTCATTATTTTAATATGTAAAATAGAAACTTATTATTTCCGTATGGGCACAGAAGTTTTATTAACCCTTCTTTTTACAATAAAATGATTTTAGACAAAAAAAGATTATCTGATTTGCTGTCTTGTCCTTTGAGTCATGCTCTGAGACAATTACTGTCAAAACTGCTTGCAGGCTACAGGTGTACACAGACTTATTTTGCACAACTTCTGTGCTGAGTCCCATGCTATCCTGATATAGATAGATAGATATAGATCCTAAGGGGGAAAACTACAAATAGTATTTTTGCTTCGATGAACATATGACTGTCTGTCGGAATCTGTGGGTATTGGTGATTCCGAGATTGTAGAAAGTCTCCGTCTTTCTGCCCCGTTGCCAAAGAAGAAGCCATAGTTCGTCTGTGCTGTTTTCAAGATTGTTTATTTTTGCTTATCTATAACAAGTTCTGCTGCCCTGCCACAGGTCTGTCCTGCAGGGCAGTGTGTGGGGCTCTGCCCCTCAGTGGGATGGTACAAACATTATATACCAGAAATTACGTGTACTATATTTACAATAATGTGCCAATATCTATTATCTACGTTGAACAGTGTGTCCCCAGCCTAAACCAATAGAAAAATGCCAACATCACCAAGAACATGGAGGTAAGGAAGAAGAAGGAGGAAGAACAGGATCAGGCCCACTTTCCTCCATCTTAGAATTCCTGACCCCCCTGTACAAAGTAAAACCCCCCTGTACAGGTGTTAAAACCCCCCTGTACAATACTAAAAAAATTTACCCTCTAATTTGTGACTACTTTTACTATACCATCTAACCCTCTGTGACTGCTTGTTCGACCTTCAAAGTTGGTAATTCATTCCATGGTTCAAACTCAAAATCACAGCTGTTTTCTGCTGCTTGCCAGGGTCTAAAATGCTTTTGACCAAGGCCTGGAACCTCTGAAAATGTCTGAGGGACATTTTGAGTTCCGACAACTGTCTTCTAGACCTATAATAAAAATGTGTCTCTGTAAGGAAAGGGTAGTATATGTTTTTTTTCCAGTTAGTAGACTCAAGTATTAACAAACAAGTTTGCATGTGCTCTCTCAGCATTCATGCATTAAGACTTCTGCAAAGTCCATCCACTGCCTTGAAAACAGTGTGAAGTGCAGATTTAATGTGTATTGTTTCCAGTCTTGCAGGAGAAGTTATCTGAGAAGATACAAACACTGTTTTCTTCAAAGCCTCGAAGATTGCAGTGAAAGACAGAGGAGGAAGATCCAGCTGGGGAAACTATACTACACTAGTCCTCCTATCAGCCTGTGTCCGTAGGACAACCCATAGTGTAGACACTGGACTCAGCTTTGCCTGAATTCCAGCATGGAGAGATAGCAAAGTTTCTGCTGGGTGACTAAACTTCTGCAGTTGACAGAACCAAACTTGCATATGCTCTTGCTGCATCATCTTTCTTTGGTGTTGTACATTGGATCTTGGGGATACCTGCTGAGCCATTGTCCTCTTTCTACCTTTGAACCGCATTCAGCATTCTCTTTTCTAATTTTGTGGCAAGTATAGCGGTGCAAGACTTTGAGGCTTGTAGAGGAGCAGCAACCATCATCTTGCTCATGTGTTCCTTCATTTTGCTGCTATATATTAGGCCTTGAAAAGGAGAAGAGTTGGTGTTTTCCCAGTAGCCTACTGTGTTCTCTAATGGTTTTTGGCAGTTGATAAGTAAGCAGATTTCCTAGGATCTAATTGAGAGTGTAGAGAAAAGTTTATCCATCAACATTAGTTGAACAAGTTTTTATTTTCTGTTTAATTAAACATCATCCTCTTCATTGCAGGCTAGAGGATTAAGGTAACTACAGTCCTGCTTCTTACTGGCACAGGTTTAAAGATATGTTAATCAGAACAGGGAAGAAGGATTTAGGAGTATTGTAAACTTATTTGCATTTACTTACCTAGCACATCTTTCTAACTGGTTCTAAAAGCCTGGAAACCTTCAGCCCCTAAAACAGGTAAGTCACTGAAAAATGCAGTATCCCTACAGACAGATAAGGTTTGCATGACAGTGACAAGCTTAAGTATTCTGTCAGTTCTGCTTTGGGAAGGAAACACTGCTCCCTTCCTGTAAAACAGCTGTATCTGTTTAGACAATACCTTTCCCTGAAGGAAACTTTTCCACTAGAAGGAGTAGCGAGCCTCCAAGCTCCTACTGGCAAAAGTTGTAGAGTAGGTACCAAATTAGATGGTTACTGTACTCGGCAGGAGTGGGCTTGAAGTGTGAGATGCTGAGGCCTGTGCAGCAGGCCTCAGCCAGAGCTGATTTACAAGATGAATCCTGTGACTAACAGTATTGTTAGCTAAAAACAAAAGACTGAGGTGCTTATGCTAGCTGTTTATCACCAAACAGGCTGCTTTAGAAATTTTCACATCTTGTCCAATTCACTGCAATATATGTATCATTTTAAGGAACTTTCCCACCAGGCATTAATAGAGGCTTGTTTGTAGGATATATTTTAGGAAAAAACCCTCCCAGTCAAGACCTGGCCTCAGGCCATGCTCTGCCCCCAATTGGGAGGGAAGTAGACCATCAGATGTAGTTTCTTCTGCACTAAAAATCAAGTCACTTTGACTTGTTGATTTGGGCCTATTTAGGCTGATTTGGCTGGATCCTCTTTCAGGGTGAATTTGGAGACCTCATCTAGGAGTGGATGCACCAAGTAGAATTTTACCAGTTGCTAGGAAGGGTTCTCCATGTCCTCACTGTAAAATGGGGCTCCCCATCAATTTCTTACTCTGGATGATGGTAAAGTATTTAGACAATTGGTGTTTTATCTTTCTAAATCACTGTCCTTTCTCTTGTGTAGGAATGATGAGGTGCATTATCTTGCTTATTTTTCTATGTTGCTAAAGCTGAACAAGTAGTAAGCTTATTGTTTTATTGAATGCATAATTTTACTTTGTGTTGCCTTAATACTCATAGTAAAATAAGACCATTCTTTCCATTGGTATCGGTGTTCTTTAAATTGCCTCATCAATTGGCAAAACGAAGTGAGAGGATATTTTGTGACCAAGACTATTGTCTTTTATGCATGTATGCCACAGCAGATGCTCACAAAGTGCTATTTTTTGTATAATACAAGTTCAGGAGCTGTTTCTCTCCACATCCTGTGCAGCAATTTCAACTGTGCTCCGTATGTACATTTGGGCCCTGTTCTACACCATGGAACAGGTACAGAACTTACTATAAGTAAGTCTTGTTTTCAGTTGAGTTCAGCTGAATTGTTTCCGTTGAATGAGCTGAGTGAAGCTACCTGTGTCAGGGACTAAAACTGTCTTGCTCTTAGTGATGCTGTGCACAGATAAAATGTACGTGCATCACAGAGTAAGGTAACATTAGAGAAAGGATCAGCACAACATTTTTTTTTCCTTTAATTTCAGGCTTTTGGTTGGTTTGATTTGACTTTTGTGACTGGTCAGAACTCTGGAAGAAATATTTGGGACATGTGGTGAATATAATATGCAGTCAGAGAATTAGTCATCTAAATACTGTTTAATTGTGACTTGATTAGTTTGTAAGCTTTATATCATGTTAATCATGCTTCAGCATTGACAGTCTGTCTCTAATCACACTAACTTACTGGATATGCAGCTGCTTCAATCTATTTAGCTTCTGTTCAGAACCACAACAATCAAGGCATGGTTTGTCTGGAGCATGCAACATGCATGCTTACATAAAACTCTCAGTTGTACCCCTGAGCAAACCGGAACTAATGTAAATGCCTTGGGACATTTCTTCTGTCTTTACCATCTTTTTATCATGAGTTACTGCTGTTTCTTCGTCTCTGCAAAGGTGATGGCTTTTACCATGAGACTTGATGGAATTTGAGTGATTTCTATGCATTGTACTTATATTGTTTATAATTGAACAAGAATGTTGTAATTATAATTGAACTAGAATGTTGTTTTCTTCTCCCACTTTGTTGTCAGATAAATGTAGCAAAACACACTGTATAAGCACACCATACAGAAAGGTGCTCTCTGTTTTAAACACAACAGATTTCCTTTTCTCATAGATGCCAGGATTACTTGTGGTGGCATGGAGAACAAGGACTGCTAGCTATCATATCCTCCTCTGTCTCCCTAGTTCTTGATCAATGCCAGTGCTGATCCCAGAAGCCTTTTTGTTTTGGCGGAGAAAGTTCAGAGTTGAGTTGTTACATACAGTTACTGTTTTGCATTTTTCGTATTTCTCTGTCCTTGGTGTGGCCTTGATGTGCTCCAGGCAGCACTGCCAATTCTTTGTTTTTACCAGTCATTCTTAGCTCTTGTTACTGTTCTTGTTCTCTTGACTTGCTGCCTGTGCACTGCTCATTGAGCCATTTCTTCTGGCGCACAAGTGTTTATGCTCCAGTGTAATGATTCTTTTACAGAGCAGGTTTCACCTGCAGCCTTTTAATACTGCAAGAGAAGGAAGAGGTCATTACAAAAGAGGCTATCGTTGGGTCTTTTTTTCTTTTAATCCCTTTTCCCCCCCTTGCATTTTATACTCAGATACTTCAGCTTTGTCTCCGAGTTAAGATATTCTCTCCACAAGCCCGTAATAAAATTACAGGATAAATCACAGGTCTGCATGTGGTTTATCAAGTTGAGACAGAAAAACTTCTCGGAGAACTAAATGGAGTGCTTTGAACACTTTTGGCAGGTTGTATTTTGACATAAACCTTGCTGTTACCCAGTAGTCTTGAGTGGCTCTGCAAAAGACATGCACAGCTGCAGTCTCTTTTGGCTCCAAAACAGCACTGCCTAGGGAAACCTTCTGTTGATCCTAATCTTCTAGAAGATCTTCTGGGAATTAGACTGACTTCTCCTGTAGCCCACCACTACCAGGAAGATTCCTGAAGCAGCTCTGGTCTTGCTAGTGAGAAAAATCTATTTGGCAAAACTTTTTTCATCACATAATGTGAATTTCTCATTTTCAGATATTCCTAAGTAGAGCTTTGATGCTACATGAACTAGACTCATCATTTCTGTGTTCCATTCTAGTGTTTCCAATATTTTTTTTTTTCTTTATTGGCAACTTATTCAGAAAATTTCTATTTATTTCTTTTAAAACTCATTTCAAAT